AATAAATCTGCAATCTGATTGTCGAACGTGAGCCTTATATGTGGAATGCTCGAGTAGTTGGACTCTCAAGATCGAAGGTTAATCCGAGATCGTACCCTCGAGATTAGGATGTCCAAACTTTAGAATTTGGGACTAACAATGGGTTGAGATGAGCTAGCTACTATCTCTGGCAAAAAATTTTCTATCGAACGCTTAGTACTCGAAGAGATCCAAAAAAAGCTTTGGAACTTTTCGTGTTCGCAAAAATTACACGAGTCGATCAATAAGTAAGTTACAACATACATTTATTTTATGTGAAAATATATAAATATATCTCTACCAGTCGATGGTCGTGTAAACACAGTATCAGTGTCAATGTACAGTATAAAAAAATTTGTGCTGTTATATGACTTTTGCGACTAAAAGATTATTCTCAGCGTGCAATTGACAAAGGATCAATTTATGAATTATATATACAAAATGTAACAATCATTAAATGACAAACATTCAAGAATATTTACTTATTGTGTAGATTGCAGATGTTTACTCATTTATTTAGTAAACTTCAAAGCGCGAAATTGCACATATCTTTATAATTAAACAATATAAAATAGAAAAGGTTTCTACGATATTTTGAGGGTAAAACAATTACGTATCGTAAACTATATTTTCAAAAATCAATTCGTGATTCGTTTTCTTCATTTATGATAAGTGCTTGCAAATGCTCGGGGAGGATATGCTGAAAAGTTATAGCCGAATGTAATGTTTATGTTATTAATATAAAAAATATTTTTTAAGTAAGTGTTTTTTGACTAAATATTTTTTTTATGTGCACCTGTATCTTTTTTTTCGTGGGGAGTACAACTTATTTATCGATTGGTCTACGTAAATTGAAATTTTATTTCGTGTGACGTATTTCAAACGAATGGAATGGTATTTTATACTTCAAAGATTTCAATGGTTTTGAATACTTGCGTTTGAACGAAAACTTTCAGCCAGAGAGAGAGAAAGAGAGAGAGAGAGAGAGAGGCAAAAAAAAGCGCACTCTGCTTGCTCCTTCTATCTATAACCGTGCATGACATATTTGTTGAAGTAAATATTGCAACGATAACAATAACGAAAATAATGTGTCCTAGTTTTAATCCTTAAATACACGAATAATTCTTTTCAAGTTATATATTTAGAATTAGTGACATAGAAAAGTGTTTCTTAATTATCACAGACCACCTTTTAAATAATTTTTCGTTGGCAAGACGTGCTTTCGAATAATATATTATCTGTTAATTTTGTACAACGTATCGACTATCTTATTTAGCTAGACATGATTTGAAATAACTACCAGTTCAAATAATTCACTGCTTCAAATCGATGTTTTCCATTTCAGTCCAAAAATGTAATTAAAAAAAAAAAAAAGTGAATAAAAAAAAAATAAAATGCACAAAGAAAGACTCGATGCGATATTAATTTGAAAATGCTGTCGCAATAATAAGTTTTGGTACGTATTTCGTATAGAATTAATGTACGATTGTTTTCCGACGGAAATAGCGAAAAGGTTAGAAGACCAGAAATATTTCTCGCAGTGTCACGAATCAGAGCTCTTCGTTATCGATTCTTTTAGATGTGGTGGCATCTGTCTCAACTTCTACTCCCTGGTCCAAATATAAAGTTCTAAGAGTCTCAGATTGTACATAGCTATCGAGTCGCACCGATTCTAATACGATTTCTTTCAAAATCCCTTTCGAAAACGAAATCTGTGTTTCGTGAAATCGTAATCTTCAAGAGTGTATACATTTTAATAAACGTGCGAGAATTATGGAGATTATGATTAAACTGCAGACAGGTTTAGGACATTTTCAGAATTTTAAATATTCTCAGAATGTACGTAACATACAAAAATATCAAAAATGGAATAGAATCTTGCGCGTTTATGAAAAATTTAAAGTTGTAAATATGCTCGTACAATATGAGAGGCTAAATAAAATTCCAAGTGCTAATATTTATTAAATGTAGTATTGCCTGCGCCATGTTCATATAAAAACATTTATTTATTAAAGTATAATATTGTACAAAGTGTAGTATTTATTGCACGATATTTATTATAATATTTCAGAGATAGATTTAGGCTCTGTTTCTTCAATTACTAAGACCCCTCTTAAAAATATGAACTTACATAAATATTCGTAGATATTAATACAGTATTGTTGCATTATCGATATTTAAAGATTTTTATCTTCGGAGATACTTGTATTCTATTCCTGTTTTAAACAAAAGAGCATACGTGAAGATAATACAGTTTAAAAAAGTATAAATCGTTGCTCCTCCTCGTAATAATTTTACGCTACATTGTTGTTCTTACGATACATATTGTTCCTTACTTTCAACACATACTTGTTACATTTCACACGAGAAAGATTAAAATACTTGAACTTTCCCCATTAGCGAAATAATTTTTTCCAATTTCATCGAATTTATATTTAAGAATCTTTTTAACAGATTCAATGATTTAGTTAAACATTGAAATTTGGCGAAATTTGTATCCGAAAATCTGTTTCGCGCGTTCAGTTATTTAAATCAACGTTAGGATTACAATAGAATCCATATTTGAAAATCTTTCGCCGCACGTTTAACGATTTAATCAAACGTTAAAATTTAACAGAAATGTATATTCGAAAATCTTCCCCGCATATTTAATGATTCAATTAAACATGAATGTTTAACGAGATTTATATTCTGAAAATCTCTCCAACGTGTTCAACGGTTTAATTGAACGTCAGATTGCTTTTTTCCTCTTTTTTATGCCTTTCGCTTGTGACGCCAGAAATAAATGCAAGATTGAATCAGAGACAGGCGAATAATATCGAAACGGTATCTAAAGCAACAACATAATTAATGCAAGGCGAAATTAGTCAATTACGTGCACGCGTTCAATCCGTCTGTTTAATTACAACCGGCATTAATTACTTTAATACTCCGTTTATGCAGGAACTTTTGGCGAGATTAACGGATCAACATTGTGATATTATGCGCGCGAATTACAATCACAATTACCGTTTAACACGTTAGGCACCGAAATTGCAAGAATTCTGAGTGTTCCAAATTAACACCGAAGTTCATTTTCAAACGGATATAAAAGTTCCCAAACGTGAAACTCTCGAAACGCAAATATCTTTGTGAAATTGTTTTTTTTTTTTTTTTTAACAACTCGACAAAAGCAGTCTTCCATTTCAAAAATATTTTCAGTGTTAGTAAGAATCGATGCTGCATCGAAACAGCGTTTCGTTCGATCAATTTATATTTATCGAATTCTACTTTTCAACTCTCGAGTGACAACTGTTGGGTCAAGTCAAATTTGAGCCAACTGCGAGTTATTCGACACATTAAGAACTAATTCGTGATTTATTTTAACTCATTAATGCCCGGCCGATATTCCGATCGGGCTGTTGCTATCTGCCAATTTAAATTTCCAGATATCGCGAAATTTAAATTGTCTCTACATTTTGATATTTTGTCAATGGATAATAACACGTTCGTTGATATGTATAATATTCAAAAATCTAATTCGTTTTGTTCCAATATCAGATCACTGCAGAATCGATATGTTGTACGTTTGTTTGTTTTGTTAAAAGCAATGCAATATTAGAAACCAATATAATATGTCCAAAGTTAAAGATTTCTACAATCGCATAATCTGCTTTTCAACGATATCTTTCTCGGGAAATATAGACGAACAAGTACTTTTTTTTCAACAACAAACGCACAATATGGCTCCTTTTAAGCGTGTGCCTCTTATTTAAGACCTCTTCTGTTGTAACATCGTCAGAATAATCCCAAATGAACTCTTGTATCAATCTAACTTTTCTTGTAAAATCATACTCGAGATCGCGATAGAAAATTGAACGTGTATAACCGAGTAAATAGGAATTTAGTTTATTTACTATTAAAGAATTTGTTGAAATTTATTTATCTCTTCATAGGCAGGTGTTAATTTTAATTATTACTTTATTATTATTTATAAAAAATTTGTTATAAATATTATTATAAAAAATAAAAAAACGTGTATAACCTAGTAACCGAGTAAATAGAAATTTACTTCATTTACTATTGATAAAAGAATTTGGAAATTTATTTATCTTTTCATAGGCAGGTGTTGATTTTAATTATTACTTTATTATTATTATAGATGCTTCGATGCTTCTTCGAATTTCGCAAAAATTGTGGAACATAGGTAACGACATAATGACGAAAAGATATTAAACGAATCTTGGGGTTTACGATCTAAATATTAAGAAATAGAGGATTCAATGATATGAATTACAGATGAAATGTTTGATCAAATGTTGGTTCTTTACATGGGTTAACACGTTCGCAGCTAGGGACGATTCTGGCGCGAAAATCTTATTATTAGCTGAAGATCTCGCACGTCTTCGCGTATGAGAATAATTGTCAAGAATCGGTAGTTAAAGATCTAATAGAATTCAACACGACTTTAGATTTTCTTTTTTCTTTACAATTACTACAACAAGTTTCAAGAAGTTGCTACTTGTGCAATAGTAGAAATTTTAAATAATTGTTATAGAGAGATGGATCTATAGCTACGAGAAAAATTTTCAATTTCGACGACAATTTCCAAACAAGAAGTTCCTCGAGAGTTTACATTTTCACCTGCTGTTTGTGATATAAAAATCACCTTCGGAGGAAACGGATCGTGCTTCAAAACGAGACGAATTTGGATCGTTGTACGATAACAGTTCAAACGATCGAGAATCATACTCTCGACACGTCGAAATCAACATCCCACGTTACCACTTCCACGGTCCTCGAATTAAACGAACGTTGATTTCTGTCTGAAAGGAAAGAAATCTGCCCAATCGACAGATTCGCGACCGACGAAAGGAACGACGAAATTCTTTCGCCGCTGTTCACCGGGATTTTCGTCCGGGGAAAAAACGGCAACAAGCGCGTGGCGTCTCGCGGTGTTGAAAAGCGCGACGAGGAGCCGTCAATCAGCGTCGGTGTTGATCGCTCCTTGGAGTTGGCCGTACTGAAGAGCACCGATGCCAGTCGAGTTGCGAGCTTCGGCCGCGAAGCTCGGCCCCAGCAGCGGCACGCTTACTTCTCTCGCAGGTGCGACAGTCCGCGTTCATGCCTCGACCCGTGGAAATCGCGCGTTCACCCCGATGGATCGTGCCAAGAGAGAGAACGACACGCACTCCAAGCCGACACTCTACGGCAACAAGCGGCTACTGGGTAATGAATCCTCGAAAAGAAAAAGAAAAAGGAGAAAAGAAACTGAAGAAAACAAACGTGTGACACACACGCACACACGCACGCACACACATACGCACACACATACAGCTGTGATTTTAACTGCGATTGATCTTTGTTGATCTTGATTATTCGAGTGGGGATACTCTTCGATTGTGTTGGTGGTGGTGATGATTGAACTGTGACGACTCAAGTGCAGTGTGACTTTCATTTGATTTTCATTTGAGTTTGACGAGTCTTTTCACCGTTCGATTCGTGTCGTTACGTGCGATTATGATGATTATTATTTTGCGTTGATGACGATTATTGTGGTGGTTTTGTGATAAGAAACCGGACTGTGCATTCTTCCGATTTTTACTTACAGTTAGATGTTTTTCTTTAGTTGAGTTCAGATTACGTCATTTATTATAATATTTTTCTCTCAGTTTAGTTTTCCCTTTAGACGTTCGATTTTTCTTTCCAGCCAAAATTTCTGGTTCCTGGCGTACGTTTTTTGACACAGTTGGGGATTACGTTCTTTTAAGGGCTAATTACAACGCGACGCGAAACTTTCATCGGAAATCTGAGCTTTTACGCGGGTCCAGCGTGTTTTAGTTTATTTTTTGTTTTGAAGATTATTAATCTTGATAATTAATCTCGTTCAGGTTTCACATTTTCACACGATCGCTTTTTTTTTCTACGTCAAATATCAATCAAAATGGAACGCAGTTTTTGACAACTTGAGGTTTTCCACGAGCCTTAACTCTCTTTACTTCGTGTTAGTTTGTTTGTTGTTCTCGTATTTTATTTGACGATCGTTCGACGATAATTAATTTCGTCTAACGTTTGAGTTTCCCATTTTCACGTGTTTATTTTCACGTTAAACATCGATCAAAACACGTGTATATTTTCTTTATCAATCTCTCGTCAAAAATATTCGAACGTGTTTATTTCACATCAAATATCGAGTTCAAACGCCCACACAACATCTGCGTTGAAACGCAAACATTGCTTATGGATGAAATCTAGTTAATTCAAATGCGAAATGTAACTATCAGTGCCCTTTCAAACGCAAATATCGTTTTCCATCGATAATTAAAAATTACGTGCAACACTCGACAACAGAGGGAAAAACCGTATGATTGTAAAATACCAAACGCGAGTTTTTCGATACGATTAATGCTAACGATCAAGAACGCGTAATCCCGTCGAAACACACAAGATTCTATCTCCTGACACTTGGGAGTAACGTTTCATAAGTGTTAAAACCTCGTCAACGTAACTTACAGACAAAAATGAAGCTAAAACATCATGTAGGAAAAAGACCAAAAAAGGTTTCGTTAAAGAGTTATAACAAAAATACAAAGTGTGACAAAATACGATCGTTACGATCAATTTCGGGGATGGATCAATCAACTGGTCTCTTGAATCATCAGACCTCACGTCTCTAGATCAGATTGTTCAATATTCGAGTTTTATCGTCAGAAGAGAATCTTTTTTTAATAAGTACATCGGTGAATAATTAGTTCGATTTATATTGAGTTTCAAAGTTACAAAACGATAGATTATCAAAAGAAACAATATATTTTTCTTTATTTTTAATTACACGTCTTTTCGCCTGAGCGAGGAATAATATAAAATTCGAAATAACTTAGATCTGTCTGACCAAGAACATTCGACGTAAAATATTCGAATTTTCTCTTATATATTGTCAGGCCAGAATGTCAGCTAGTAATTAGATTATCTGCTAATTGCAGACTTTCCATTCTGAGGCTATGATGCTCGAATGTTAAAATGGGGGAAAAATGGAAAAGGTTCATACTGTGTGTCAAATGACTAATAAACAGATTTTAAGTATTCGTAAGAAATGATAAAGAAAACCCACTTTGCAGTACCTGAATACGTAAAAACTCGATTTCTTAAATTACATTCAGAAAATTACGTAAAATTTGCGTAAAAGCCGTTATTCGAAAATTCCTTTTTACAATGTATCATTTAATGACGGGTAAATTGAGTGAAGGTGTGACAGGTAACATAGTTCCGAACATGGGAGGGTTAAAATTCAATTTCCCTGGAAAATCTCGTATTCCCGTGCGTGACGAAGAAGCGAGTAAATAAGTTGGCGGTTTTGAGAACTTCCCGATTCATCGTGGAAAATCCTGTTATGAAATTCCGTTCAGTTCTGTTTCTCGTTTTTTATTCGCGCACGCCGCGGCACGAAGTGATTTCTCCCGTCCAACTGCGAAAAAATTTCGACGAGAGAAAGAGAAAAAGAACGAGAAGAAAGAAGAAAGAAAAGCACATTTCGATTTCAATCGAACAAATGGATTAGTACACCGGCGGAGTTTGCAGGCAACGAATGTGATCCCGTTGATATTAAAGTAGTCATATTGCCGCGAAATCTCAACAAATCGAAAGCTTTTTCTATCGCTCGGACAAGTGCAGACATTTCTTTTAAAACTGCGAAATCTTTGAAATAGACACAAGCATATCTCGGCAATTGTGACACTGTGAGTTAGGACTTCTATTGTTGAACCAATATTCACCTACAGTCGTAAAAAAATCATTCAAATTTTGTTGAACACTGACAGTTAAAAATTTATATTTATATTGTTTAACTGTGTTTATATTGTTTAAACACTTCGACGCGAAAAAAGTTCGTTCAAACCTTTCAATCTTCGTGCAATCACAAAGTATACATTTAATTATAAAATCCTTGAAATAAATATCCTCACCTGTTGTGACATAAAGTCGGAATTTGTATCGTTGAATTCATTTGTCAGTTTAATACTCCCGCATAGACAGAAACTATATTACAAAATCATTGGAATAAATATTTCATCGCGCGTGGCATTAAGTTGGAATTTATATTGCCGAGTTCGTTTCATATCTAGCTATGGAACAATAAATACAATAAATTGTGATAAAAGATTGCAAAAATATTGCGATCTTTAATAATTTTATTATTGACTGCGATTATTATTATCTGTGCGATACTGTAGTACCCGAAGGGTTGAAAATAATTTAAAATTCATCGATTACTACGCGACGAATCTTCACGCAATTTTCACATTTTTATAAAAACAAACAAAAAAGCAGAAGAAGGAAAAATTTGTCTCCGCTACTGAAAGAAATACTCCATTTTCAATACGTCACATAGTTTTTCTACATTCTCTATAATGATTCTGTCTGGTTATGCTTCAATTTTCATGTAAATTTTGCATTTATTGCGAAATCGGCAAACAGGTACGTGCAGAGAATTTCGTGTGTTCAACAAACTGATCCGCATATTTTCAATAAATCCATACTTCTACCTATGCTCGTCGATGCGTCGTAACATACGTACATATGTATATTTATCTGAATATGAAAGATCGATGGAATTACAATACGCCACATTTATATTTACCAAACGAGCCGACACTCGAGTAACGAAGAACGAACTTTCTTTGGCCCCCAACAAAGCTGTCGACTTTTTCATTAAAACGCTGCCAAATGCAGAGCGCGTTGCATCGCTCAAAGAGAGACGTTACAAATAAAATTCCGTCGTTAATCGTGAGCAAATTTCGACTGTGTAATAAAAAAAGAGGAGGGAAAAAAACAGAGGGAGAAATTAAATAAATGGAATGAGCTCGGAGAAGAAAGAAAAAAAAAAAAAAAAGAAAGAAAGGAAAAATTATTCGTATCGTTTCGAAGCCGATCGTTTCGATGAAAATAATTGAAATGAAATTGCAAAATAATCGCTTAAAGGGAAAGGGGAGCCGGTATTTTCACGGTGAAACGCACGATTGTTCGTCCGATTGGTCGTCCTCGCGGTTATTTCAGCTCGATTCATTGAATATTCTTCGCGAGGATAAAGCGAATTTCATAAACGTCGATTATCCAGCGACCCAGACGAAAAATTGAACATTCTGAATTTATCATGAAGGCACGAGGGCGACAACAGCCATCGCTGTTGCGCTTAAAAATGACAATACTACTATGTTCGACAAAGAAGATTTCTGCGGAATAAATGTTGCGCAATTATCGCGAAAATCACTTCGACAAAGTTCGAACTTTATTGTCTCGCGTGATTTCGAAAACATTTCGAATTATCGCGAAAAAAATAAAAATCATGAAAGCGGTTGATTGGAAAAATGACCTACCACAATTTGGTTATTCCCGAACGACGAAACTAGCAAAATGTAATTATCGAGACAATTTCCAAGCAATAAAAGTTTTAAAAAGTGGTTAACAATTTTCTTTGTTACGAGGGAAAATTTCAGAACTTTTTATTGCAGCGACGTATATAAAATTCCTAGAAATTTGTTTTCGAAATTCTCGCGGAAAACTTACGCGAAAAGAGGAACTATATCTTGGAATGTATAATGTACAATGTTTTAATTAAAATGCATGATATCTTAAAGTACCTTCAAATTTATATCATTATTTGAAGACTGAATTCGTTTAATATAATATTTATTAGAAAGTAAAATATGTATAAAATATGTATTATAATTTTATAATTATTATAATAATACAGTAATATGATATGTATTTAAATTCCATTTTGTGTTCACAAAAATATAAAATTACAGAGATGTCCGTATTCCAGTAAATAATTCTAGTCAAAATGCAACTATTTCTCAACTTTTAAAAATTACATCCCTGTTGTAATTATTATAAAATGTGTGCATTTATCTATACGTATCATTTATTGGCGAAACACGATTATTGTTGAAATCATGTAACGACCATCTACCGTACATCTCGTAAAAAACGTGTTTCAAATGACCGTTAATTACTTCAAAAAGTTGCAGAATAAATTCCTAACATCTTTATTCTCTTTAAACTTATCGCTACGAAGAAACTTTCGTAACGACAATGGAATTTCATCGCGCCGCTTATTATACAGATTATCGCGGAACGGTAGATAATGGGTCGACAGCAGCAAAAATATAATTATTTCAGTATTAACGCGTTCCTGAAGCTTGTGTTCGCCCCGTGAATGCAAAAGTTTCAAAAATAATCGTAAAATCTCTCTGCTACATTTTTACGAAAAAAAAAAAGAAAAAAAGGAGAAAAAGCAATTCCGACGGTCGCTGAAAATAACGTTCCGTGCCTTTTTTTCTCTCAGTAGGCGGGAATTTAATTTCGTTAAATGTTAACAGGAAGTTAGTACATTGGAAATATCGTGAAAAAAATTGTAAAGTCAGAAAATCAATTCACAACCAGTCTGCTGGGACGACATTTTGAATTTTATGGGACAAAAAAGATGAAATGTGGATTTAATAATACGAATAAAACGTGAAAAATAATTTTTTTGCAAAAAAATTTATTTATCTTCGTTCTTTATCACTGCCAATTTGATTTCAAGTTTTCCAATTATATTATTATTTCATATTTACGCGCATCGAATATTAATTACCAATTAATACACGAAAATTTCATCGAATAGATGCCTTAATTAATCGAAATTGTAGAAGTAAGAGTAACTGACTTGTTTCCAGCAGATATATAATAATAAGCACGTAATAAATAACATCGTTATGATAATATCATTTCAAATGAATTCGGTCAGACATTACGATCGAATAAAAATTAAAATAATCGAAAAAATCAAAAATAACAAACGCTTGAATTGGCTTAAAATTAGGATCCACGATTTATTGAAGCTTTCTTGTTAATTTCTAGTTATTATGAAGCTACGTAGCTAGATTTATGCCAAATTTCATGCACAAGAGCCGCATTACGCCATTAATATCATAGTGCTGCTGCAATCAAGCCTTTGTATAATGATCTTGATTCAAAAAGGCACAATGCACGATCGTTTGTATAATAGAGTGTTAAGGTAAAAGCATGTTCCCATGCTATAACAATGTCTTTTCAATTTGTTTTTAGGAGAAGTTTCTAAAAAAAATCTACGAGTAAAAATAACAAAAAATTGTTATACGCATGCGTAGTTTTCATATCATATGGTTTTACTCCAGTTTTTATGGTATCCTAGTTTTTATGGTGAAAAACCGGAAGAGAGGTGATTTTATAATACATGGAAAAATATTCTGGAAAAAAAGAATAACATTTTCATTTAAGATTTTTGAGAAAACTGAGTTTGAACTTTTTTTTCTTTAATTATTTGATTAACTCGATGGGAGTAAATAATAATGGGAGGATATTTTACATGCGGGAACAAATGACAAGTGTAAAATAAAACTTTATAATTTAAGACCTCGTTTCCAACAAAACACGGTTTAGTAATGTTTCGTTAAATTAGTAATGTTTCGATACTTGTGCGCTTGATTTTGAAATTTAATCTTCTCGGAAACAAAACATCTTACTAAAAACTTATTTTCGCGTGCTGAATCATTTTTTGTACGTTATTCACTTTTGTCCAATTAATTTCTGAATTAATTTAATTTGAGTGTACTCTTGACAAATTTTCAAACTCTATTTTCTCGAAAACGAGGCGTCACATTTTATTTTATATTTACGGTTTATTTTTCTTTTTTTTTTTTTTTTCTACGTAGAATCATTTTTTGTATCATGAAAACTAGAACACTCTGTACGTATTTATTGTAAATGCTTCATTACGAAGGTGCAAAAAAATATTGAACACACCGTAGAATATTTATATATCCATAGCAACGAATTTGACATTACTGGAGTACGAATTTTCATGCAAATTTATATTTTTATAGATTTGCATGAAAATAGAACTTGAATCTGTTCCATTTATTAAAAATTATAAAATATATTCTATTTTGTATGCATTTTACAAATTTTTGGAACCTTAGTTTCTGATAAATGTATAAACATCCGAAATTTATCAATTATCAATTATATTTTCTTCTTAGGAAAAATGTATGCTCCGTACATTTAATCCTTAAAACTTATCACCAAGATTCTTGGTGATAAAGTTGATTCTATCAAATTACGTTGATTCTATTAAGTAAAATTTCACTCTGATACATCTTTTTTTTTTTGCTTTAGAAAGTAATAAAATCGAACGAGAAGAATCGAATTTCACTCAAATATAATCTGTAAACAAATATTTCAATGAACAGAATATTCGTATTTTTTAATAAGGGATTTAAACCACAGAAAAGTATCGCAAACGTGAGTGGAAACATAAATTTAATATTTGCAGAAGGAATGTAAATATTGCAGCTACATATGTAAATATTAGGAGAGTTCAACGTTGGTGATTTTTTACTGGAAAACGAGCAAAGAGAGAAGAAGCGAAAAATTGGAAAACATGATTGACAATGATACTCCGAATAGTAGATATTATCAAAGACAATTGAAAGTAGATATTATACGATAATGAAAGATATTTGAAAAACAATAAATGTAATATATATGATAATAAATAATAATTTGAGACATACGCATTACACTATAGATTTCTAAATTAATTTTAAATCATACACACGATATGTCCCCTTTGAAGTTTGAACTTGAAGAATCAATTATTAACTATATTGAACAAAAATAGACTTACTATGAATCACTTTTATCTAATATTAAGGAAATTTGTAATGATAATATCAAAATCTTATTATTGCAATCAGAATATTCGTATAATCTTGTATAAAAACCATGAATAAATATAGTCTCAAAATATTACATCAGTATCATATAGAATTTAGATCAAATATCAATCAACTTTTTGAAGAACGTAAATTCTTCTGAAGAAATTACAGAATTGGAAATTTTTATAAATTTGGAATAGTTAATTGTTGAATGTATATTGGCTAAATATAAATAAATTGTCTCCAAGAAATGAAGAAAAACATTTTATAAAGTAATTTTTCCCTTACGCACGAAATAAAATTTCAGTTATAAAAAAAGAACTTAAATATCAAACTAAATTTTACATATACACTAGAACCTTTAAAAATAAATATTTTGAAATTGTTAAAAACTGAATATCGCGTTACTAGAATTCTAAATATCAAACAAAAATATTATGTTACATACGTGCGTAAACGTATCCTACTGAAATCATTGGAATTTCTGATTTTTCAAATCGTCCATAGTAAATGGATCACCAGGTAATACCAATATTCTGATTACCGAATAAACGACGTAAAAAGAAAGAGAAACCGTCACGCAAGCAAAAATATTCGCATGGTTCGCGAATAAACTTTTTCTCGAAAAAGTTCCAAGGTGACTAAAAAACAATCCATTTTCGATATCAGTGACAAAATATCGGACTATATTCACTTTTATCGATTTGTGACACCCCTTGTTGTACAAACTACTGTTGTACTAATTTTCTCATTTCAAGCGAAGCTTAAAATACGAATTTTCTAGAACAAAGGCATCAGAATAAAAAAAAAATGACTCCACCATAAAGTAAGATGCTAGATCACATATTTCAGGTATTTTTCACATTCGAACAACAGTAATTTATTTAAAAAAAATAAATTTATTTTAAAAATACGAATTTATGAAACAAAAACACTGGAAATTCTATTTATTAGAACAAAGAAATAACCCTAATATATATCGAATAAACGATTGAATTAACTAATTGAACTAATTTGCATAATCAAGCACTATGCCAAAGTAATTGATATTTATTATTGCTAGCTACACGGAAAATCTTATCAGATGATTATTTTCCGTATTATTTCTTCGATTTTTAAAGACGTAAATTGTATAAATGATTCGTAGAGCTGGATCTGGACTACTTGGAAAGGAGAGGAGGCGAGACAATAACTTGTGAAAACGCCGAAAGTGGATCGAAAGAGGAAGAAAGCCCTGCAGACACTCTGGATCGTGTCAAAGTTGTGTTTCTCGGTGCACCTAGGGTGGGAAAGTCCAGCATAATCAGGGTGAGCACTGATTTTTCGTTGAATCGAATCGATATCTATCTCTGTGGCTGTTAATACAGATCCTTTCAGATCTTCACTAGCGAAACTATTAAATATTCGTTTTTTTTAAATTAATCTTTTCAAACTTTTCGATTCGTTTGAATTCGTTGAAGATTGATTGATTCTTTCACGTTGTAGAGTGATAACGATTTTAATTTTCGAATTGAAGTTGCTTGAACTATTTGTTTAAATTAATTATCATCAGTTTCCACGCAATTTTAAAGCAATTCGCATCACCGTATTTATTCTAATTACCTACATATCTGTTAGGTGTACTATACAAACGTTTGTTTCTACACATAAAACAATATATTTATATATATATATATATTTTCTTTTGATAAGTTATTTAATTATTTTAATATCCTCAAAACGTGATTACGAGAATTCTGGGATTTCAACGCAATAATATGAAAATAATTCCACGATGTGAAAGCTATTATATTATAATAATGTCCATGAATTAAGCTGTCAATAATATGAACAAAACGAGACTGCAAACATGTATTTATATCTTCTGTCTAATTAAAGCTTTTGTTAGAATAATATGACGAAAACTTGTATTATTTGAAACAAAAGGACATATTTTGACAAAAATAATGTGAAATATATATCTATTTACCTCATTCAGCCGCTTTCAATTCTTCAAAATTGTTATTATACAAGTAATAATATAAAATCATAATTCATAACTATAAATGTAATTTCGAGAACCAATCTCTTATAACTAACACTCACGTATTCAAATCTTGTCATATACAATAATTCTCTTCGCTTTTAAAATAATAATAATAATAATAATAATGGTATTAATTAGTAATAAATAAACTGTGTAGGTGATTAAATTTCGTTCGAATTGAAAGCATGCGAAACGTTAAAAATTTTGAGTGGCTCCCGACTCGGTGGCCAGAAGCTGTGACCTTTAGCTACGGTTATATATTTCAGAGATGTGTTTTCTCGAAAACCGCGATTAAATTACGTTCAAATTAAAAGCATGCGAAACATTAAAAAAATTTCGAGTGATGCCAACTGAGTGGCCAGGGGCTGTAACTTTCATCAGCTGTGGGACATTTTTGCCTCGAAGCCGAGCTTTTGCTGCCGAGATTAAATTTCGTTCGGATTAAAAGCACGCGAAACATTGAAAATTTTCGTGTGATCAGGGACTGTGACTTCTGTCTAAGAGACGTTTTTCCTCGAGACCGACTTTCGCCGCCGAGATAAAATTTCGTCTCGGATTAAAGGCACGCGAGAATTTGCAAGCGACGCGAACCCAGCTGGACCAGAGGCTGTAACTTTCGATTGAAAGACGCTTATCTCGAGACTGAATTCCGCCATTGAGATCCTCCTAACACAATACAATTCATTCTGGATACGTCTTCAAACAACTGAGACCTCGTCAATTAGACATTCGTTTTCCCCCGTTTGACTGCGAGTACACGTTACACGCTCGTCTGTTCAAACTTTCCCTTAGCATAACAACGATGGTTATCAAAATATACACCTCATTGTCGCGGTGCAACTCGGTTTTCCAAGCGTCTCTCTGAGCATCCATCCGGGCAACTTGATAGGGCACAAAGGGTCTCGAACACAGCGAAGAACTAAGAAGAAACTAATACGAAACGCGGCAGACTAACGTCACGTAACAAAGACATCGCGTACCTAAATTAAACGCAGCTAGACGTCGACCGAATGATTGTGCTTCCGCAAAATACTTATCATCCCCACTTTGAACTGTTTCCTTGAGTAGTAACCATATTTATACCGAGCAGATGGTTCTTTGGTTTTTTGCTTCAGAGTTAGAAGAAATGCTTCATCGAACGTGACTCGTGTTATTTCGAATATTCTTACTTTAGAACAATAACCTGCATGCCTTGAACATCAGTACGTGCGGAAAACAAAGACTTGTACGAAAAATCCTTCTACTAGAGAGCTGTTTTTGGAGAATGTTGGAAACATGACATTCTAAGAATGGCTCTTCAATTCCTTAAGGGTATTACAACATATTTTTTAATTACATAGGAAGTTTATAGTTTGAGCAAAATAGAGGTTGAAAAGCAGTAAAGAAATTTAAAGTAGCGGAGAAACACGAGGGATAAAATTTTTATAATACTCGAGGGAAAATTCCGAGAATAAGAAAGTGGAAAAACGAGACCTGTTAACACTCAAGCCGGTTTAAAGACCGCGATCGATGTTCGCGTAAGCTCACTGGGGACTGAAAGAAGTCACGAGTAGCTGCATCTTTCACGAAACTTCTGGACGTATATTTAGTTAATAGAATTTTTAAAAATGCAGGAAACGTCAACACAGAGAATTGCAGGAAAATTGAAAATGCCCGAGTTTGTTTAAAAACTTGACAGCATTCAGCCGTAGAATCCACTCTTGCGAATAATTTAAGAATTTAAATAAAAAACAGATATAAAATATAAACGAAATGATTTAATTCATTGTTTATTTCATTCATATTTAACTTTCATTAAACAAACAATGAGACTTCAATAATAAAAGAATTGTTAAATTTTCCAACTAACCGATATCAGCGTTATTTCAATGCGAATTGAATTAACGAAAAAGTACAAGTAGAAAAGTGTTCACAGTTTTCACTGAACGTTGACAAATTTAATAAAGAAAAACACAAGTATTTCTCACACACAAGACACATACCCTATTAGCAAAGCTAACAAGAGGTTCAGCTTTTCGGCTCGAACTGTGACGAACATCGCTTCGCAAGATACGAATGACTTCCGCTCATTTCCGAAGCCAGTTTCCGGTTAACTGTCGTCTCTTGAGGAAATTGAAAGTCGTCGAAAAGGGAACAGCGAATATTGCATCGGGAAATATGTCGAATACAAGATTTTCCATTAAATCTCAATTTCGTCGTATGAATTTTTCTCAATTAAATAAAATTTTAAAATCTTTTAATTAGAAGAATGTTACTTCTTTTTCCAACTACAGAAAAATGATTCCTTTCTTTTAATGGTTTTTTTCCTTATTATACTTATATTATATTATTCTTATTACATTATAGATTAACGTAATTATATATGTATAAATTTTTTAAAATTCCCGTAAAATTTCTGTTATCCAAGATTATCCTATATACTCATTCTATGGGCCTTTCCACCATTATAATAAAGCTTTAAACCAATTTTTCTATGTATTAATTAAATTTTATTTTCTTCCTCCACTTCAAACTGCACATTTATTTTGTCCGACATTAAAAAATTATAATGAATTGTCAACAATGAAATTAATCTAAACCAACGGAAGCTACAAAAAAAAAAAAAAAAAAGACACTTTGAAGCAACAAACTCGCATAATTTTTTGACTAACCGACGACAAAAAAATAAATAACAAATTCGGATTCCGCGAACTGGCATTATCAAACTAAATTTTAATAACTCCAAACACGCATGTGATTTCTAAATTTCTACAATTTGTTAATTTATATCCAAGTGTTGCAATCTTTTTGGCAAGCAGTGTATATTCCAAACAAATAAACGTCGACAAGCCGAATGGATCGCCGATTGCGCACGACACTTCAAACCAGTCGATAGCTTTCGAGTTTTCCCAGAAAAAAGTCCCAGAGTTCTCGCCATTTGTCGGCATCAACGAGAACGACAATTTGAATCGGAGAAATCGGCGGGAACACGGCGTTAGTACTCGTTTGTGGGTTCCAGCAATTTGTGTGGAGCGAATTCTGCGAGGAGTACAAGCCGACCGAGCGTAGGGAGACTTTCTATCCGAGCGTGGTGCTCGCCGATCGATTGTACGAACTAAAAATTACGGATCTACCGATGATCCCGTATTTTCCGGTCAGCTCGCACCTCGAATGGACGGACTTCCGTTATTACGGGCTACGAAGTGCGAACGCCTACGTTCTCGTGTTCGATCTCAGCAATCAGGACACGTTTCAGGTATGTATGCAAAAAATATATATCGTAACAACTATGAAATACGTGTTATCTGTCGTGGCTGCCAAGCCTGCATTTGCAGTTAATACGACACATTGGATGTAGAAATTAATTCGATGTTCTTTTTTTTTTTTTTTCTTGCAGATAAACTTGCCATTTGTTTATTGGTTTTGCTCTATGATCATTCCAGGATCAAAAAGGAAATTGCCTTTTTTTTATCTGATGTTTGTTTTCTTCAAGTTCAAGGAGAGTTTGCATTTAATAATAATAATTTTCAATCTTCAAATTTTTATGTCGAGACACTCTTGATCAGGTACATCTGAATTGCTATTGAAAAATCTTTGGTTGAAAATGGAAAAATTTGTTTTTTTTTTTTTTTTTTTTTTTTTCGACGTTACCCGTGGCACTCGTTTGTCTTTTTTTTCGAAATTAAAGGGCCATCGTGCAGGCTAAATATATATATATATATATATATATTTCAGTTCGATGCAGCAACGAGAAATGATTTTTAATCGGAAATCATCGGTGCTATCGGAGAACGAAAATTCATCGACAGCGTGACGTGAAATGATGCAATAACGGTAAGCGTGTGGTCGAATGCGCGCGTACGAGTGTGAATTGTTCGAACGTCGTGTAAAAATTCGCGTTGAAAAATACGAGAGAAAAAATGGTCGAGTGTTGGGATATTCGTCAAACGTAAGCAGAAAAACAAGTGAATACTGGTGTTAAGATCAAGAGGGGGAGGGAGAGAGGGTGCCTCGATAGTCAATAATTATTACGCAGCAGCCATTAAGTAGTTCTTTCAGGCACACGTTAGTTTCAGATTTGCTCCCCTTCACTATATGCTCCATTATTCTTGCACGAGAATCACAGTTAAACGATTAGTACACTATAACAATTGCAATCTTTCCTGCACTTTCTACCGAAGATTCGACACGTGCGAACAGGTAAAACTTACGGCTATCTCAACGATGACACTGGATGATAGATATCTCTCACGGCAAAACACGTTCACGTCGTCTTCGGTGTCTTCCGTTTGACCGAACAAACTTGTCCAGATAAATTCACGAGACTTCAGTTTCAACCAAGGCGAATAGATAAATCGACAGGAGAGGGTGAAGGGAAAATTCTCCGCGATATCAAAACGGAGTAACTTAATCTCGGGAAACGTAGATGCGAGGTTATACTTGGTGAGGTTTGCTCAGTCCCGTACCTTCCTCTTTCTAGTCCAAACACTTTTCTCTCTATACTCGCACGTGTATCACAGTTAAACGATTGATACATCTCAACGCGTTCGGTCGGCAACGTCGAGGCCCACGGTGGAGAACTCATTGAGGCAAGCCGGACGCGGCGCCAAGGCGAGGAGCTCCGTACAGCGAGTATGGGGAGAAATACGGTGGCAATCCGGCGGTCGTGTGCGGATGAGGCGGCGGCAGCGGTAAACCCAACGACGATAAAGGCGGTGGCAGCAGCGGCGAAGGTTTCCCGTAAGGGTGATAACGCGCGGTTGCCAGCGGGCTCAACGGCGGCGTGGGATAAGTCCTGGAGAACAAAGGATGCGTCGGTGGTAGTCCAACGGCGGACGGCGACAACAGGGACAAGGCGGCCGCGGATGGATCCGCGACGCCGCTACCGTTCGACACGCTGGTGTGACTTCTCAAGTGCTGCAGCAGCTCGTCGGACGTGGAGAACCTCTTGCCGCAGTACGCCGTGTCGCTGGCTATCCAGTTGCACACGTAGGGAAGCTGCGAGGCCGCTGCCAATGCTGCCAGTTGTGCGTGCGCGTACGCGGCTACGCCCAACGCTCCGTAAACCGCCGACCCAGGTTTGTGATCGCACTGTGTACATCCAGCTGGACAGGAAGCACCGGTGGAGCCGGCGGTGCCGTTGCTCGCCAACTTGCCGTTCGCCACCACCGCGTTCGCAGAATGGGCCAGCAGATGAGAGTTCAACTGACAACCGGTGCAGTAGGGATCCCTGCAGACGGGCATTAAAGCGTCGGAGGAGCTCTTCAGCCTCGCGTAACTCAGATAGGGATTGCCGGCCACCAGGCTATTCTTCAACGCGGCCTGCTGCGACATTAAAGAACTGGCTGTTACATCGATTGGTATCTGCGGCGTGTAACCTAAATAACCAGAGCTCGACGAGGCTAGACTGACACCTGGCTTGAATGTACCCAAGGGGAGATCCTTGATGGACGGGTCTGTCATCGCTAGGACACCGGCCGGACTGTAAGAAGGTTTCCCTTGTAACGACGGGCTACTGACGACCGCCGGTTGAGACGAACTCGACGAGTCGAGCTGACCCGACGAGAGATTCGCCGCGGACGATATTCTCGAGGCCGGTGACTCTCGTGCCACGTCGCCGTTCGGCGTCGCGGTTTTCCGCCCCTGCGGCGTCACCGTACGAACCGACGAGGCGCTCTGATTGCTGGAGCATCGTTTGTTGTTGCTACCAGGTGTCCTCGATCGACCGGACGTCGAGTGACTAGAGGCCGATCGCTGCTCGTCCGGGCTCGACGCTTTCTCACGACCCAAACAGGACTCGTACGGCTTGAAGGTGGTCTTGGCCGAATCCGACGCGGACGTGACCACGACCGCCGGCGACGATTTCTCGCGTGATTGATCCGTCGACTTGGACGATTTGTTGCCTGAACCTTTGTCCAACGAACCCAGCAGTGATTTATTGGACGGTGTGTCGGCTCCTATTTGACTGCAAGTCTGAGCAAGAAGCGCCAGCGGACTCTTCTTCGCATCTAGCTGCAAATAGAAGGAAAACGTGCCAATGTAGATCGGTTGTCGAGCAATTTCGATATCTTGCGTAATATATATATGTAGATAATTTTGCACGATTATTTTATAAACATATCAAACGTACGCGTAATTGTGGCACATTTTTAGCATCGCTATCGACATTGACGTTTTGTCATATTTCGAGTTATCGTAATTAATCGAAATATGCGTTCGACGCGTGGGTTACGTCTGCAGTTTAATTATTGAAAAGTAATCGGCATTTAATAATCGTCACCGATATTCCCGTCATCTTTCGTTTTGCATTGTGCTCGCGCGAGGCTTTAAGCTCGACAGATATATCGTCGCCGATATATCGCCACGTCCATACAGTTTTACGACTAATAAAAAGTCATGGCCAATGATTGCAATATCTAAAAACAATTAATCAAACTGTCGTATATCACTTTACTCGGGCGCGAGTGAGACGAAAAATGTATAAATCACATTGCATTTCAATTTATATTGCCGCTGTTGCGTTTTAAAAAATCTTTTTTTATCGCTTCTGGAGGAAATGTACGCGCGTAAATATAGAACCGATCGCATAACCGCCACGAAGTACGTAATAACTCGTCGGGCGATCAAACCAATCTAATGGAATCGAACGTTTAATTGTATCCCTTGCTTCATGTCTTAACGTGATCCATCTAAGAATAGTATCGGTAATAACAGATAAAATTATAAGTTTTGTAACTGCACGACTATCACTTCGTTACGATCTTGACTTATATCAAATCGAACGAGTCGAATAAACAAATTGATAGAATCATGTTCCAATTTTATATTCATTTTGCTAATAATGATCAGAAGACTAAAAGAAAATTCATGTATTACGCAAATAGAACGTTCTGTAAAAATATTTTTAAATACATGATTTCACGTGTTGTTTCTTCAGTAATTCAATTTATCCTATCAACATGTAACAAGGATATATAACTTTGCTATTATAATACTATTTTTAAATATGCGCTCAATAGACCAATTCTCGTCGTTTGAGAAATAAAATTTCTTTCTCTGTCATAAAAAATGACGCGCGATTTAATCCTTAGGCGCACGCAATTTTAAATAAAAAAAAAAAAAAAGACTCTACCTGCACGGAATTCTTTTTAATTTAAAAAAAAAAAAAAAAAAAAAAGAGCAGAAACGCACAAATAAAATTTAAACCTCGAAGCATCCCTTGTTCCATTCTCGATAATTCCATCTGTTTCATGGCTTATCTAATTGATTCTTGCAGCTATATCCAAGGGTGCAGCCGGCGAAGGTGGACTGAAGCGCGTCTCAGCCGGCGAACTCGTAATATCCGATGATTCATTACCACAGTATTCGATTCGCAGCTTTATCTCGTTAAGTATCATAGTTGCATCGTCGCATTATGGATCGTTATTTTAATTAATTTAATCGCGTCCCATTGTCATCTGAACGAAGCGAGCGAAACGTTCTTGTATAGTTTTTATGTTTTTTTCTTTTCTTTTTCCGCTCTTTTGTGAAAACGAAACAAAGGACAGCTTGCAGCAAGCCCGAATCATGGGCAAATCACATTACGTTGACAAACAGGTCGAACGTAATTGGATAATAGTGACGAAACTGGAATATTGACAAATTCGATCCTGTACACGCGCAAAGTTTAATCGTTCTTATTTTTTGAACTCTCATCTACTTTGTAAGAGAAAAAAATGACCAAGAAGTTGATTCAATTTTAATTACTATCAATTGTTAGTCAGTTCCTTTAGCGAAAGAGTACAAAAGGAAATTTCAATCTCATCGCCCGTGACCGCATAGTTCAGAGACGGAACGTTTTCGTTTTAATATCCATCAGTTAAGCCGCGATGAAGATCATTCAAAAAGTTTCTTCTTAGCCGAAACTCGGTTAAGGACGTCCAACTGGGAATTGACGTAGCTAGCACTTGACGCAAGATAAACTTTTTTTTCTTATTATCTGAGAGACAATTTGAACAAACTACGACACAGTGTTCTCCTTTTAAGCACAGTCATTCCCATTTTCTATGCTTTCCTGTCGATATTGGATAAAGAAGAATCGCGAAACTTTTTGAACGGTGTTCCAAGTTTTCCTTGTTAAACAAGCAACTTTTATTTTACGCATATTATTTTACGCGAAACATCCTACGTGAGAGGCGTAGACGAAACGCGTTTGATTTGTTTCATCTAAATGTTTATTTTAGATGAAGTCAGATTATATTGTTGCGTTCATTGTTACGTTTTTTATTCGTCTAGGTGGAATTTTCCAAATCCGACCGAGGCAAATTCGGATTTCGAAAATGTTCCTAAAAGTGGTGTATAATGTAATCTTGCCAGCACGCACTTTTTAAATGACCCGTAATAAAACAGAAAATTTGCGCTCGCGAACACAAAGAAGATCGAAAGAATCTCAATGATGGTACGTAACAGTACTCGACGACCTTCCCCGACGTTTGGGTAGTATCCATCAGTGCGAATCTCTAGATAATTGACTTAACATTTGACTAGACACATATATAATTGATTAATTATCGCCTAGTAAAAATTCGAACGGTTCGATCAGAAAGATTCTGAGCATCGTCTATACTGTCGCTATACTGTCGGAGAAAAGTGTACAAGTATGTATGTGAAGTGAAATTTTACACGCTTCTTAGAGTGTTTCTGACACGTCACACAATCACATACACACATACACACATCATACCACATCATACCACATTATGCCACGATACACCCGTAAATGAAGTATGTGCCTTTCAGAAGTAATAATGGATATATTATGTAAGAATGCATGATATATTATGACGAATAAATTGTTTTTAATAAAAAATCAGTTTAAATGTATGTTTATTGTCATGAAAAGATACAGGCAAGAAATTGTACTAAAATATCGTCCCCAAGTATTTTTGACAAAATATACATGAAATATATTATATTATGTTAAAATCATATAAATATCTTAAAAGAAAATATCTACCGTAAATAAATCATAAATAACAAAATAGAGAATAACGGTAAATGCGTCTGAAATAAGTTATCTTGGCATTGATAACGTAATATCCTTTATAAATAATGTTTCCAGTTCGTGTAACATTAATTGTAATTACAAAATTTATAAAATGTAACGCGCGTCTCAAACAATTAATACAAACGTAATATAAAAATATTATTTGATTATCTTAAATAATCTTAACGTTACTATTTTGATACCGGTCTGTATAAATCTCATTATGTGATATTATTATAAAAGGAAGTAGTAAAAAAATATAGCTACTCTAACAATTATCAAGACTCATAGTCTTTACATCACAATCAGGATTAAAATTTGTGCATATATTAAAAATATATATGTATATAAAACTAGTATGGCCTCGTTGACATACATACAGCAAAAGTGTTCAGGTTTCATTGTTTTTTACTTCATTTATCAGTTGTAAACAAACTTTTAAGTCCTCATAATCTTCAACCATCATATGGAACCTACAAACAATTCAATAGAATTGAAGTGTAATATCTACGTTAAATATAAAACTTTGTTTGTTATCAATACCTCTCGGTAAACATATCCAATACGGAACTTGTAAAATTTCCTTTTTTCAAAGCTTGTGAACAAAAATGTGTCAAGTTTTTAAAACACTTGTGTGTCAAATTACATAAACTTCGATTTTCTCCTTCATATAATTGCTTCGTAACATTCCACGCTGCACATACATAATGCATTACCGATAGCCAATGCTGTGATTCTACAAGTCTCTTTCCCTGGTCAATAATAGCTTTCTATTTAAAAAAAAAAAAGAACATATTAATAATTAATCAAAATAAAGAAATGTACAAACAGATAAAGAGATCGCTACATACCTGAAAGGTATCTAAATGAATGTGAATGTCAGATAAATCATCCATATTAGATAGCGCGATGCCAACTTGAATATTTTGTTTCAAATTATTTAGTGTATCAACTAATGGTTGTATGTCAGCCACCGGCATTTTTTTGAACAAAACATTTCGTATTTTCTCATTTTCATGTAACAGACCATCCTCTTGCATAGAGACCAAATCCATGATCATGTGAACCAATTGATTGTGACTAAGGCCTCTCAGGCCGTTTATTAAATTTCCATTAAAATACTTTTGCGAACTAGTGGTACCCAAAAAACTCTGCATCTTTTTCTTTTTATCCGGCGTTGTAAACTGACACTCACTGGCATCGCCAAGGGTGAGCCTTTTCCTTGGTGTACTTCTCAGTACCATAGTTGATTTCGTTGGACTCTTCACTGGTGTACGATCTTTAGAATTTAAGCTGCAAAAGAGATTCGATACATTTCTATGTAACTATGTATTGCAAAAGTAAAGGAGAAAGAAATGGACATTTACCTAAACAGGCTATTCCTTTTACAAGTATCAAGATCAGGGGACCAAACTATGGTTCTACGACGACGCCCTCGTTTTTGGATTACCAATTCGTCAGGGCTGGGTGCAGGGCTCCAAGAATCAGTGCCTTGTCGACTATTTAAAAAATTATCCATTACATTAACTTCGGTGGAAACTGCCTCGGCTAAAACACATTGAAATTGAAATTACGAAGAGTAAGTAAATATAATCGAATGACACGAAGAATGTTAGGAACGCACCTGGTGAAACGGAATTATTAACAGGAATCACTGCCAAAGCTTGGCGAGCGGATCTTCTACGCGTTCCATCTGGTCTCCGCAAGAAATCTCTGGTTGTTGGTGTATTCATCTCTTTCAGTGCAATAGAAAAATCTTCATTCGAAAATACGGCTAATTTACGTGTATTTATCCTTGAAAAATTGTTACTTAAACATAGGACGTGATATGTCAACCTTGTTTTGTAACAAAAACACGATATTTCATTTTTTTCACGTAATTCGCTGATAATCAGATGAAATTATTATCTGATAGTTAATAAAAAATACACGTACGATCACAAAGAACACAAAATGAATAGAAAGAACGATCACGACAATGCGTCATAGTTGCAAGAAATGTGACTGGAAAATGGCGGGAATGAATCTGATTGGTTTATTCCGACATAACTCGCTATTAGATGTTATTCATTTAACTAAAAAATTGATTTACTTTTGTCTGAATTAAACGTATGTAGTAATATTGGTAACTACTTTCTGCGATCTAAAATTTTCTAGTTTTGTAATTTAATATAATTTTTATATTCATCTTTATATTCCTTTTTGCAGAATATTATTAACAAAATGATCTTCAATTTTGCACGAAATTAACAATTTGTTTTGATTATGTGATATTGTTATACCCTTCTGAGACAAATTTTTAAATAATTTCCAATAGGACTAACAATCAACCAATCAAGATTAACATAACAGTACTTGACACTTTAATACTAAGTAGGGTTATGTTAAAGAGTATTTAAGCACGTGGATCGTCGCAGTAGAATATTGTCTGATGTATTTAAATATCGATTTTGAACTATAACAGAATTTTTTAAGTATTTTATTTATAATTGTACGATATTTTTCAGTCATAAATTGTACGAAACGATAAAGTAAGTATAAATATTGAGATTGGTTATATGGGCACGTATATACTTTATAAAAATAAGAAGTAATTGAGCATCATCTTTTTTAGCATGGACGAATTATTAAACGACAAACGATTTGCTTATGTTGCAAGGGATCCTAAATTTAAAAGGATTCCAAAAGCAGAAAGAAAAGTGAAAATAGATAAAAGATTTCAGAGTATGTTTAAGGATAAAAAATTTACAGTTCAATATACTATAGACAAACGAGGTAGACCTGTAAATCAAACATCATCAGAGAACCTTAAAAAGTATTATGATTTATCGAGCAGCGAAGAAGAAAATGATGAAGAAGAACATGAAAAGCCAAAACAAAAGGAGAAAAAATTTAGAAAAGATAAAAAAGAAGGAACTACAAAGAATAAAATTCCTCGATCAAAGGAAAGTAGTCGAAAAAATAGTACAAGTGAGGATGCTACTAACTCTCCATTACTTGATAAACAATTATTATCTTACAAGTCAAGTAATAGTTTATTAAGTAATGAAGAGTCAATATCTAGCATTAAACCAAAAGAAGAGAGTGATGTAAATTCTGAGGAACAAAGTGACACCGAGTCTGAATCAGATATAGATGACATAACTAGTGCAAGAAGCTTAAAGTTAGATTTAAAAGAAAGTGAAAGACAATTGAATATTAGAAGCAAACATGAATCTGGGAAACTCACAGATGATATCAAAGCAAAGTTAAGAAATTTATCTGTAAATTACGCTAGAGGTGAAGGGCTTTTAATGACAGACAGCTCCTCTGATGAAGAAAGTTCTGAAGATTCTGGTAATATATTTTAAACTAATAACTAATCTAACATATAGACAATTTTATATACGTATAGATATTTTTTTATATACATATAGATAATCTAACATATAGATAATTTTATATACATGGTATTTAATAACAATGTGCATTTACCATTTAGATGAAGATATTGAACACAATTGGGGTGAATTAGATAAGGAAGCTGAATCAACAGAGGAAATTACACACAGATTAGCAGTTTGTAACATGGACTGGGATAGAATTCGTGCTGTAGACCTTATGGTTTTATTCAATTCATTCTTGCCTACTGGTGGTTTTATTCATTCAGTTACTGTAAATATTATTAATTATATATTATTATATATTACTGTAAATATAATATAACATAAGTTAATTTTCAATATTTTTATGAAAAATAATTTTAGATTTACCCATCAGAATTTGGTTTACAAAGAATGAAAGAAGAAGAAATTAAAGGTCCAAAGGAATTGACGGACATAAATAAGGAAATCGAAAATGAAAACGATGTAACAGTTCATTTCTTTATTTTTCTTAGAAATCTAAATGAAACTGTATATAAACTTAAAATGTATATAATTTTCTAGAATGAGGAAGGATCAGCATATCACATGGAAAAATTAAGACAGTATCAACTAAATAGATTAAAATATTATTATGCTGTTGTCGATGTTGATTCTGCTGAAACGGCAAATAAAATTTATTCTGATTGTGATGGTACGGAATATGAATCTACAGCAACAAGGTTAGATCTCAGATTTATACCAGATGATATGGAATTTCACCAGGTATGTTACTGAAACCTAATGTATGTAAAATATATTCACTATATATTAGCTTGAATACTCTTTCTTTAAGACTCCTAAAGAGGTATGTAGTAAATTGCCAGACCCTACAAAATATCAACCAAGACAATTCACAACTACAGCTTTGCAACAAGTTAAAGTACAGTTGACTTGGGATGAGACGAATCCTGAAAGAATGGAAATTGCACAAAAACTGAACTCGGGAAAATTGAATGAAATTACTGACAATGATTTACAAGCTTATTTAGCAACTGAGTCAAGTGATGATGAATCAGGTATTATGTTTTTAATTCTCTATATTTTTAGTATTCTATATTTTTATTATTTAATTAACTTTTTTTTTATTATAAAAGGAAAAGAGGAAGGAAAGAAATCTCAAAAAAATAAAAGTGATTCAGAAGCGGAAGAAACTGTTGAGCCAATTGAAAAATATAAAGCTTTATTGAAAGAGATAGAAGAGAAAGAAGAAAGCAAACAGAAAAAAGATGTTGAGTTAGAATTTACTTGGGGATTGGGCACAAAAGAGAAAGCTGAAAAATTGGTACAAGAAAGATTAAAGAAAGATCAAAAACTTACGCCATTTGAACAGTATTTAGAGAAACGGAAAGAGAAAAAGAAAGCTAAACGAGAGGAACGAATGAAACGCAAAAATGCAGATAGAGATGTGTTGGACAGTGAAGATTCAGAAATGCTTCCTTCAGATAATGAAATTGAAAATAATAAATTGTCTTATAGGGGAGAAAACACTGTAGAAAATGATAGTTTTACTTCATCGGATAGCGAAAGCGAAGAAAAACGTAAAGCTGAATTAGAACTTCTATTAATGGATGAAAATGATGATGGTAAGCAACATTTCAACATGAAGAAGATTGAAGAGAACGCCACAATGACAAAATCTAAACAGAAACGGTTGAGTAAGAAGAAAAACGGACAAAATCAAATAATAAAAGACAACTTTGAAGTGAATGTACGAGATTCAAGATTTAACGCATTATATACATCCCATCATTTTAATATCGATCCAGCAGATCCACATTATAGGAAGACCAAAGGTAGCGAAGCTCTGATTAAAGAAAAATTGAAAAGAAGAATTGATAGTGAACATAGTGAAGTGAGTAAAACTTGTTCGTATGTACTTTTGCATGTGTACCCTATATATATTACATGTATTTTTGTTTGTTTCTTTAAATGTTTCAGGAAGTACCTGCTAAAGAAATAAAACTGAACTCTAATACAGAACTACAGTCATTAATTAAGTCAGTGAAGAAAAATGCCAAAAATATTTCAAGGCCTATAAAATAATTTCTTTTATATGCATTTTTTGATAAAATGTTTGTAAATATGTATGTATTCATATACGTATATATAAATTTCTTAATATAAATATATCGAGTTTTATTAATTCAAGCTATGTATGTATTTCTAAAAGAAATAATAGTTATGTATTTATTTTAAACTTTTTATATTCTTTATTAATGTATTTTATATAAAGTATGACGTAGAATATCGAAAAAAGCAAAAGTCTGTCTCGTCGCATTCCATGATGCTTTAGAAACAAAATCTTAGAAAATTTTGGTTGAGTTTCCCTTCTCCTGCGATCCACGAGAATGGAATCCCATTTCCCCTGGCACCACTCTCCCCTCTGCACTGCAGCGACTGGATTTAAAGCAACGGAAAATATATAACAATAATATCGAGTGCAAACAGGCCAGTTGTGGAATTCTAATGATAAAGTAAGATATAGCAATTATATCTACAAGTACGCAGAATATTTCCATCTGTTTTATGGACTAAATTTCCACGAATTATATCGGATATTCAATTTCCAAGGAGGGGGAAGTGATGGATCGCGTTCCGTGACGCTCGAAACTTTCGCGATAGTTTACAAGTGCAAATTGGGTTACCCGCCAAGATTCGAAAATATGACACTGATAAGCATAAATCGCTGTTTGGGATTGCGCAACTTGTGCGTATCCACAAGGTAGAATTGAACAAGCCCTCACATTTCTACGAAGCTCTGCATGTATGTGCGAGATACAATTCTCGTAAGAAAAGAGAAATTTTTAAGTTATTGTCTCTAACGCGCATTACGGAATACGACAAGAATTCTCAATGCCTTGGATACCAACTAAATTCTATTAATACGTTGGATTCGCAATTCTTTATATCACCGTCTTTTTCTTGTTTGCACAGATTTCTTCACGAAACATTACTGAATGCTGAGATTAGTCCTTGCTTGATGATTTCACATCATCACATGTTTCTTTTATCCAACAATCAAAGTTTTCCAATTTTTCTGAATTGTAGGAACTTCCCTCCATTGTCACATTTTTCTCTTGCATTTTTGATGTTCCCTCTATTACGTTCTGTCAACTTCTGTCTCGCACTTTGACTCTGTGATCAATTAATTTCACAAGTAGAATTATTACCAAGTTCAATAACACAATTAATATTAATGATACTTAGAGTTTTTGCATCATAATATTCGGTCAGGTGCGTAGTTTCTGACTTTTTTTTTTTTTATTTCTCTCATTTCATTCTTAGAAATATTAACATTTTCAAATATTATTTTAATGTTCAACATAAGATATATTAAACATGTTTGCAGAAGCGATAATGTTGTTTAAATTAAACACAGTTAAATTTGTAATCGCAGTCTTGGTTTTCCACTATACTAATCTATGTGAATAATACGATGTTCGGTGAGTACTGACGGGATTCGTTGTTTACAATTTTACAATATCCAATTTTAACTCATTGGCACGACATCGTTGTCAACTAGTTTTTGGTTATTGTTATATTCAAGTTCATTCGTTTTCACCTAGTTTGCATGCATAACCAAAATTTCCTCCTATCGCGGCCTTGTATCGATTTTTACAAATCGAGGGCGCGAACTAGCACGAAGAATGCTATTGTCTCGAAACGAATGTATTCGTATCTAACCTAACCTATAATTTCATGTATTGCCCACAGCTTTTTCCTGTATATATAATCCGTGTTTATTTGCCATCTGTTACGAGTTAACAACAAACAAATATTTTAATTTTTATCAAAAACGTATACGACGGTAAATATTTTAACAATATAAGATAGTAAGTGATGTTATAATTTATGTTTGTTGACCAAAAATTTTAATTCAAGTTTTTATTTAAAATTTATGATTAAATGTGTGTTTTTACCATTAGATCATGCTGAAATCGTAGTATCTATGGAGGATACAAAAAATGAGACTATGGAAGAAGTAAATGTAACTTTAAAGCCTGAAGAAGCTGAATCTCAAGCAAAAATAGTGAAAAGTGATATCAAAGAGCAGATTGAAAGCAAGAAAAATGTAGAGTTAATGGAAGAAGTTGTAAAAGAACAAAATGACATTAAAAATGATGTTGAAGAGGAGTGTGGAGATCAAAAGGACATAGAATTTCATGAGGAAATTATAACTGAATTACAATCAGAAATTGTAATTGAGTCGCAGACAGAGATTGTAACAGAATCACAGCTAGAAATTGAAACTGAATCAGAGTCAGACATAATCAACTGTGAAGAAGCTGAGAATAGAAAAGATGCAGAACTTTCTGAAGAAATTTTAACAGAAGACCAAGAAAATTTAGTTATGAGTATGGATGATAATACTGGAGATTCAGTGAATATAGAAACAGCAAGCGATATTGAAATGGATAATGAAAAAGTAAAGATAACTGATGCACAGGATTTAGAGTTAAATAAAAATGAGATCAATGCTAATAAGCAACAATTGGAAGATAATTTAAAGGATATTAACAAAGATAATTTAAAAGATATTTTAGAAACTGCCAGTAATGTGGAAGAGATATTCTCTGAAGAACGGTGCCAAAGTACACAGGATATTGTTACAAGTATATTAGATGATGTAAGAAGTGCAACTGACTTCAAAAATATTTTAAACACAGAAACAGTTGTAACGAATGAAATAGAAGAGGCCCTGCAAGAATCTGGAAATTTACCATTAGCTGAAGCTGAAATTGAAGAATTAACTAAAAAATTGCCACAGGATTCCGAAGATATCTTGAACAAAGATATGGAGGATTCGATCTCAGAACACATAGATTCTCTAGAAGGATTGTTAGGCCTAGATTTAATGCCAGAAGGAGATGATTCATCGTTAAAATCAACAAAAACTGAAGAGGATCTTCAGAAGTCAGATCAGTTATCAAAGGTTGTGGACATGAGTCTTTTGTTAGAACATTCAGATCCCACTTCTGACATGACACAAACATCTGATTACATTACACATGTAATCAGTAGTTGTTTAGAAGATAGAAGTCATATATCATTAGAGAAATCTAATGCAATTGAAATTAATGATGATAAAGTTAAAGAACCTGCAGCTAGTAATATGTTGGAAATCAATGAAAGCGTAATTAGTGAATCTATAGGCAAAGATGAAAATGTTGAAGATTTGCAGAAAGATTTAAAAGAAGGTACTGATTTGACAGAAAATGAATTGGACATGGATTTTGAAGAAGCTCAGCTGGAATCCGTAGGTGATCTTGAAGAAATAGAATCACAATCAGAAATAGATAAAAGCGATCTTGAAGGAGAAACTGAAACTACAAAAGATGCAAGAGTTTCTGAAGTAATTGTAGCAAAAAGTCAAGAAAATTTAATTACTAGTCTGAATGATAATAATACCGCAGATTCAACAAATGTGGAAACAGCAAGTGATATTGAAATGGAATTGGCTTCAGATATCTTATTGCACAACGTAGATCACAGTAGTAAAAATATGGATGATTTGCAAAAGAATTTAAGAGAGGATACTGATTTGGCAGGAAATGAATTAGACATTGATTTTGAGGAAGCTCAACTAGAATCCATAGATGATCTTGAAGAAACAGAATTACAGACAGAAATAATTAAAAGTGATATTGAAGAAATGGAATCACAGACAGAAATAGTTAAAAGTGATCTTGAAGAAACTGAATTGCAGATGGCAATTAAAAGTGATCTTAAAGAAACTGAATTAGAGATGGAAACATCTAAAAGTGATCTTGAAGAAACTGAATTGGAGACAGAAACATCTAAAAATGATCTTGAAGAAACTGAATTGCAGATGGCAACAACTAAAAGTGATCTTAAAGAAACTGAAGAAACAGAATCACAGACAGAGATAGCTGAGGGCAATGTTGATTCTATAATTAGAAATGATGTAGAACTTCCTGAAGAAATTATAACTGAATCACAGTTGGAAATAAATAAAATTGCTATTGAAGAAGAACCGGAAAATAAAATGGATACAAATGCTATTGAAGAAAAATTTGAGAATAAAATGGATACAAGTGATGTTGAAGAAGAATTTGAGAATAAAATGGATACAAGTGATGTTGAAGAAGAATTGGAGAATAAAATGGATACAGAACTTATTGAGCAATTTACAACTGAATCAGAACCAGAAGTAAATAAAAGTAATGTTGAAGAAGAATTTAAAAATAAAATGGATATAGAAATTACTGAACAAATTATAACTGAATCACAGCTAGAGATAAATAAAAGTAATGTTGAAAAAGAATTTGAGGATAAGATGGATACAAAACTTACTAAAGAAATTACAATTGAATCACAGTCAGAAATTACAATTGAATCACAGTCAGAAATTACAATTGAATCACAGTCAGAAATTACAATTGAATCACAGTCAGAAATTACAATTGAATCACAGTCAGAAATTACAATTGAATCACAGTCAGAAATTACAATTGAATCACAGTCAGAAATTACAATTGAATCACAGTCAGAAATATATGCAAATGATGAAGAAACAACTGCAGATAAGAAGAAAACAGAACATATCGAGGAAATTGTAGGCAATCTGCAGCCAGAAATAGTTAAAAGTGATATTGAAGAAGAACGTGAGAATATTCTTGAGAAAGTAGTAACAGAAGAACAAGAAAATTTAACTATTAATATGGATTGTGAAATTGAAAGTTTATCAAATGTGGAAGAGTCAAATAATATTGAAACAGGATTGATTTCAGATATACTGTTGCATAATGTGGATCAAGATAACAAGAATGAAAATACTGAGAATTTGCAGAAAGATTTAAAAGAGGATATTGACTTGACAGAAAATAAATCATTTGTGAATTCTGAGGAAGCTGCAGTAGAATCCGCAGGTAATTTTGAAGAAATAGAATTACAGTCGGATCCAGTCAAAATCATTATTGAAGAAGTGTCTGAAAATCAAAAGAATCCAAAAATTCATACAGAGATTATAACTGAATCACAACTAGAAATTGTAACCAAATCTCAGTCAGAAACAGAGAAAAATAATATTGAAGAGGAACATGAAAATAAGAAAGATATAGAACTCTCTAAAGAACTCGTAGCAGAAGATCAAGAAAATTTTGATGTTAATACTTTAAATTCATCAGATGTGAAAAGACCAAATGATATTAAAACAGAATTAATTTCAGATATACTGTTGCATAATGTGACTCAAGATAACAAAGATGACAATGTTCAGGATTTACAGAAGGAATTGAAAGAGGATGTTGATTTGGCAAAAAATGAACTGAACATGGATTTTGAAGAAGCTCCGCTGGAATCTATAACTAATCTTGAAGAAATAAAATCACAACCAGTAATTGTAAAACATGATGTTGAAGAGGAATCTGAAAATAGAAAAAATGTAAATCTTTTTGAAGAAATCATAGCGGAAGATAATTCAAGAAATGATAATCTAACAGAAGATAATCCGGTAGAAGGTAATCTAGCAGAAGATAATTTAACAGATGATAATTTAGCACAAGATGCTGATAATCTAGCAAAGTGCAATCTAATAGAGGATAATTTAGTAAAACACAATGTAGTAGAGAGTAATGTAATAGAAGATAATTTAGCATTAAATAATGTTACAGAAGATAGTCTATCAGAAAATAATCTTACAGAAGATAATCTAGCAGAAGATAATGTAGTAGAAAATAGCCTTGCAGAAGACAATGTAGCAGAAAATAGTCTTGCAAAAGATAATGTAGCAGAAAATAGTCTTGCAGAAGATAATGTAGCAGGAAATAATCTTGCAGAAGATGATCTAGCAGCAGAGAATTTAGTTACTGATATGAATGACAATACTACAGATTCACCAAATGTGGAAAGATCAACTGATATTGAGATAGAATTGTCTTCGGACATCTTGTTGCGTAATGTGGATCATGATGAAAATTTAGACGATGCTCCGACTGTCATAGAAACATCTCAACCTAGTTCTGAAATATCCGAACTTGAATCAGCTGTTAAATTTCTGCAAGAGTCTGAAGAACAAGCAATGGACTCCCCGTTGGTATTATCTCCCAAAATGATGGAAAGTGTCGTAGAAGATATATCGAAACAGGCAGATGCATCATCTTTGTTTGTACACGAAGATATGTGCGAGAATACGTCAGAATTGGAAGCGGAACTGCAGAAAATTGCAACGGATTCTATTTCCATTTCTGAAGCAGAGATTATCTCGGAAGCTGCAAAACTGGAAAGTGAAAGGAAACTTGTCGAACAAATTAAGATTGATGCTTTGAAAGGTAAGTTTGAGATAGATGATGATAAAGAAACAATAAATGAAGATGTAATCGAGGAGAAAGTAACAATGTCTTCTGAGACAAAGTTCGATGTAACAACTTTAGAGAATATTGAGATGCAGCAAGTATCAAACTTAGAAAGCAATAAGGTATCTGAAACAATAGTAACTTTATCCCAGAATGTGTTAAAGACATCCGAATCTATACCAAAAGTTTCTATTTTAGAGGAACGTTTAAAAGAACCACCTAAGATAGAAATTCCTACTACAGACGTGACAAAAGTTTCAATGTCTCCGAGTATCTCCAAAGACAGTCTTTTGATTCAAAAGGATGCAAAATTAATTGCCTATCAAAAAATGTTAGAGTCACCGAAGATATCTGATAAATCAGAGCCGAAGTTTGTTGAAACATCTCGAAAAGATCCTGAAAAACACGATTTCGAAAATGTTGGATCACCAAGAATTATTCTAAAGATAGCAAAGTCCGCAATCACTGATTGTGGCGAGCCGAGATCTCCTAAAAGTCCAAAGATCAGATCAGCGACCAATTCACCGAATCCTGAAGATAGCCCGGGTCAAAAACTGGGTAAAATAAAATTGAAATTATCTAAAGGGGGTCATCCCTCTATAATATCCAATGAGAATATCGAAGAACTTGGACAATGGTATTCGGAAGGCTCGTCATCATTATCTCCTCTTGGTATGAAGATTAAATTTTCAAAATCTGGGGATGCATCTATAGTTTCCACTGAAAAACATGAATCGGTTGATGATTCTAAAGAAGGTAAATATAAATTTGAAGAAACTATGCGGACAGAATCACCAATTGGAATGAAAATCAAGTTGTCAAAAAGCGGTGACGCATCTATAGTGCAACAAGATACAAAAGAGATGCAAATAAAGCACAAAGATAAGTTGGATATTGTTCAGGAAAGTCCAAAGAGAACGGAATCTCCAATCGGAATGAAGATTAAGCTTTCTAAAACTGGAGACGTCTCGATAATACAATCCGAAAGGCAAGATTTTTCAGAGGAATATAAAGATAATCTACAAATGAAACCAAAGGAAAAACTCGAATCATGTTACGATTCTCCCAAAAGAACTGACTCTCCTATAGGAATGAAAATCAAGTTGTCTAAAAGTGGGGATGCCTTAATTGTTTCTCCTGATTTGCCAGAAGAAAGTAAAGATGTCAGCAAAATGAAAGATAAATTAGAGTCATCTCCAGAAATTCCAAAGAGAACGGAATCCCCAATCGGAATGAAGATTAAGCTAGCAAAAACGAAGGGTGGCGGAGCTTCTATAATATCAGTAGAAAATTCTGAAGAGGCAAAAGACATTCCAGATATTCCTAAACGAACGGAATCACCACTTGGAATGAAGATTAAATTATCTAAAACAGGTGACGCATCGATCGTTCATTCAGAAGTGTTAGACGAAATTAAAGATAAATTGGATACAGTACAAGATACATTAAAATCATTGGACCCACCATATATTGAGAGCTCACAAGAAGAACAATCAGTAGAAACCATGCATGAAGCTTTAAAAGTTGAATCGCCCCTTGGTATGAAAATCAAGCTTTCTAAGTTTGGTGATGCATCTATAGTTTCTTTAGAAAAGCAAGAACAAGTGGAAGGTAGTCCCAAGAGAACAGAATCACCTCTTGGTATGAAGATCAAATTATCTAAAACTGGTGACGCTTCTATCATACAAACTGATATATCTGAAGATGCAAATAAAACAATACGAACAACCGAGACAGAACATTCTAAAACTGACGCTTCTCTAGGTATGAAGATAAAGCTGTTGAAAACTGGAGACGCCTCTATAGTGGATTCAGAGAAGAAAGATAAAGAACAGAGACGTCGAGACACTGAATCATCTCTAGAGATGAAGATTAAACTATCTAAAACGGGTCATCCAACGATTGTAGCTTGTGACAATCAAACAGAAATATACAAGTCCAAGGAAGCTGTTGATCCATCTCAAAATCTTGTTCAAAGATACAAAGAGGTTGGACAAGTTATACATAAAGAATCTGCTCTAAAGATTCTTAAAGCTGGACATTCAACCATTTTGCAAAGTAATCGTTCAGAACTGACCATCGAGCCGGTGCAAATACAGGGAAAGAAATTAGAGAGTGTGGTTGAAATGTCTCCGAAGCGCAAGGATATTACCATCGCACCGATCGATTCGAAAAAATCTAAATTGGAAACTCAACTCACTCAAATTTTACCTGAGGTTACTATCCAGCCAGTGACGTCCAGGGAACAGAAGCAATTCCTGTTCGATCCAAAAAACAGTGCGATCAGTCTCCAACAGATGAATGTGATAAATCAGGAAATCAGTATTACTCAAGTGAGACCAGAAAAATCGTCCGATGTTTCTATGAACGAGAAACTGAAGGATATTCTATCAAAGAGCGTATCTGGCTCCCCGTTGAATTCTGACTGTGAAATTATAGAACATCGACCAGAATTGATAATAGTAAACGAGAACTCAAATTCTAGCCAGGATGTTGTGATAATAGAAGAAGTAACTCCCAATAGAATGCCGGAAGTTAAAGTGCCCAAGAAAAGAGGTAGACCCAGAAGGAATCCATTACCACAAGGAATTTCTCATCCTCCGCCTCATATGTTAATACCTAGGGATCCTTTGTCTTTAGACGATACACAACAAATGCAACAACCACAAGTACCTCACTTCCAAGAATCCAGAGAAAATGAAAGACCTAAAAGAACCTGCAGGAGCCAGAAGAGTTATGCACCTCCTAGAAGAGGTAGAGGACGAGGTTTGTATCTTTTTATACTTTCTATGTGCAAGTATTAGTCTTTTATTTAACCTTCATACTGTTATTTTTTTTGTTTCCTTTCTTTTTTTTGTTTTTGTTTTTCATTAGGTAGAGGAAAACGGAAATTGGACACTGTGGATCCACAAATTATGAAAAAGCCTAGGATAGAACAAGATTTAAACGCGATAGAAGCTTCTACGACAGCTGTAATAACAATAGACGATTCTGGATTGCATCAAGAATCCTTCGGAAAGTCATCGGAGTTGTATAAAGCTCTTAAGCAACCAGCAATAGATTCCAAGATTGCTAATTCTTCAGGTAAAATTAACAAGAAGATTATGGGACAAAAGAATAACAGTGTAAAGACTCTAATGTAGTTAATAACACACTTTCAGGCTCCACGAGTATGCAATCGGAAACGAACAAAACATCGGAGATGCGGCTGCCTAAACCAATATCAAATGACGTCACAATTAAGGATAAAAGATTGGCCGAAATAGTTCCTGAGAGAGTGCAAAAGACTGCAACGAAAGTGGATTCCGATAACAAATTTGATAAACCAACGGATAATACAAAATTGGAGAAAGATATGTTAATACCACCTGGGCATCCGAATTGGTTAACACCAGTATCGAAACGAACAGAAAATACAAAACATGAGAATATGTCTACAGTACAAGTGATAGATGAGGAAACAAGAATGAGTGCAGAATCAGGTTCCAGATCTCAGACTCCAGCTAGAAATATTTCTGCACCAGGTATGATTCGTGCATTTCTTACAAATTATACTTCTTACTAATTTTATAAATAGTGCAATATTGATTACGTTTTACTTATTTGTTTTATATTTAAGATTAATCATTATAAACTTGTAATATAGATAAATAACAGTAATGACATTTTTTTTAATTCTACTAATGTTAATTATAGTTAATATTCTATATAAGATATATACTTTTTATGATATTTTCAAAATAAATTGCTAAAGTAAAAAATATATTGGCTGTTAGTCGTATGATCTTTGGTCATATGACTGAACTAAATTAAAAGATAAATGCATTGGTAGATCTCCAAGCAAGGTATCTATAAATAGATTTTTCTTGTGTCTTAACATCTCTTAAGTACATAAATGTGAAATAGATGTATTTAAACTGAGCACAGAAAGTACTGTTATTTTAAAATAGAATTTCCAAACCATGATGATTAGAATTTTATCTGTCATTTAATTTATCAATTTCAAGAAAAATATTTTTATTTTAAAAGATCTAATGTTATAACATAATATTAATATTCATAGTTAATCTTAACTGTGAATTGATTTTTTTTTTAAGTTTCCATTTATTTTAGTTTTAGTTTAATTATTTTATATCCAATACGTTTTTTTATATAATTAGTATTTTATAACTTAAAATAATATATAACAATTGGTTATGTTTGTAAACATTATAATAATGATTATTACTACAGCTTCTGAAACTATAATAAATGAGGAGTCTCAAGGAAGTGTACTTAGTACTGCAACTACAGAGTCAGAAAAAGTAAAGGTCAAAAATAGAAGAATGGAAATTAATTTTGATCCAGACGAAGGACCATTTACTGTTGACAAAATTGCTGAATATGAATGGCCACTTGACCGTAAAGGTGAAACTTTTATGATACAAGAACAAATATCTCAATATCTTGGTGTAAAATCTTTCAAAAGAAAATATCCAGATTTGAAGAGAAGAGTTGTGGATATGGAAGAAAGAAATTATTTGAGAGAAAATGGTTTGGTTAGCGAGGCAATGTGTGATATGGGTAAGTCAGTATAAATCATTATATACAAATAATTATATTTGTTCACTAATATACTTATTTTTTAATATTAACATAGGTTTAACTGCTATATGCAGCTCAGAAGTATTAGATGTAATGTGTAGTGATTTCCCAGATCAGTACGAAGAATATCGCAAGCATATGCGCGAGAAACAAGTAAAAGAACATTCCAAAAAACAAAAAGAATTAACAGCAGCTGCAAATGCAGAAAAAAATAGAATTGATCTAGCAGAAATGGCAGTACAATCTGCATTATCTTGGAATATGAGTTTAAATAATGATCGACGGGAAAATAGGAAGTGTAGTTTAGATTTACAAACTTTCACAATCCACGTGCCAAAGAAACAACAAGAAGTTGAATCCGAACGAAGAATTGGTCACTACCCTGTTGCGTTGATACCAGGACAATATACAGATTACTATCGAGAATACACACCAGCTGAGTTGCGATATTATCCTTTAAATACTGTCCTCTATGGTCCTATGAGACCAAATGAACGTAAATTTGATAGTCAATCAGAAGGATCTCAAAGTGATAGCGATAGTGATTCATCTTCAGATGATTCAAGGTTCGTACTATCATTTTAATTTATTAACATGTTAGTATTTTGTGTGCGTGTGTGTGAAAGAACAGTTGGTTTTTTTTTATGTAGTTCATCTTCTAGCGAGGGTACGCAGGATACCGAAGGCTCTCAATCCACGATGGACGACGTAGATATGGAAATAGCAAATCGAAAAGATGAAATAAAGTTAAAATGCAAGATGTGTTTGAAGACCTTAAATAAACACAGTAAAAATGAAGTATTAATTCAGTGTGGTACATGTAATGGACATGGTAATACTATTTATATCATTTTTCATTGATATATTCTTTATTGCTTTATTGTATAAATTATAATATTTGTATTGTAGTTCATCCATCGTGTATAGATTTAACATTAGACATGGTTCCTCATATTCAATCATATGCATGGCAGTGCACAGATTGTAAAACTTGTGCTCAATGTCATGACCCTGCAGACGAAGATAAAATGTTATTTTGTGATATGTGCGATAGGGGGTATGTATTTTCCTTCTTTATTAAAAAAATATTAACGAATGGTTGTATGATATTTAATATTACCTAGGTATCATATTTACTGTGTTGGTCTCCGACGAGTACCCCAAGGAAGGTGGCATTGTCAAGAATGTGCCGTCTGTGTAAATTGTGGCTCAAGAGAACCTGGTGGTATAAATTCTGATAGAAATAGTGTTGCTCAGTGGCAACATGAATATAAGAAAGGTGACAAGAATACTCGTGTTTATGTTTCAACGTTATGCGTCCCATGCTCAAAGTAAGTAATATTACTTTTTTGTCTTCATCTTGTGGTGTAATGTACGAGTGAAAATGTAATTCAAAATACACATACTAAATGCTAGTTTTCAAATTTTCACGGGGCTTCGTTACTGCTTCACAATCTCCTTAATTCACACAAAACTCCTTTGTTATAGAGGTTTTTAAACTAATATTTCGCGTTCAGTGTTATGGTATCCAAATCCTTGAATTCCAAAAGTTGACTATCATACGATTAACTTGTTTAATTAATAACATTCATAAAAGTTAATAACATACATTTTATGCTTAATTTATTAATGCATGATTAAGATAATGGAAAATCATTCAAGGTTCAGATTTTTATTAATTGTATTAAATTTGGGCATTATAACGAACCCTTGTCCAAGTTCACTAACCCCTTGATCTTTATGCAATAACAAGGCTATGGCGAAAGGGTCGCTATTGCCCGCACTGCAGTCGCTGTCATACTGCTCCAAGACTCGACCTGGAAGCGAATCTAGTGCATTGCAGCGCATGTGACAAATATCTGCACTTAGGTATTGACACAAATTCCATATAATTCCACTATATATTTTTCATTGCATGTTGTTGCGTTTGCATGCTTCATCAAATGTTATTGCCTTTAAAAGTAATTTGAATATTTAAATTATGTACGGGAAATTTCAGGTATAATAAAACATATATCAATATTTGTTTATCACGTGCAAAAGTTATTATCATTAGTGTTATTCATATTTTCTTATAGGTTGCGTGGAGACCAAGGGAATGCCATTAGACAGGAAAAATTATCTATGTGACTTTTGTGCACCAAATCGTCAGCAAATGGTAAAATCATTAATATCGAGAACATTTAAAACATAAACGAAAACAAAATTTATATTTGAGCTCGAGAAGTGTATAAAATATGAAACCTACTTATCTAGAAAATTTGATAAAATAGAAATTTTTTATTTATATGGACAATGAATATATTATGAAGACTTAAGCAATTGATTTATTATAAAATGTTTCGTACAAATTTTGTGAATGAAATGATTGTACATAATTATATGATTATGATGGATTTGAAAAATTAACATTTTGTTACAAAGCAGTGATTATAATTAGCATATATGAAACTAAAAATATAAAAAAGCTTGCCTTTAAGTGTTAATATCCAGTAAAAAAATCTTGATAATTCTGATTTTCTTTATAATTTTTATCCTTTTATTTTTAAATATGTTCTTTGTTTAGATATTACTATAAAATTAAATGAGATCAACTTCTTTTTATATATAAATTGTGTTTACAATTTATATTCTTTTTATTACTTATAAAAATTACGTATAGTGATAAGAAATAATTATGGAAAAAGACTGCTTTATAGAATTATATAAATTTTATAATGATTTTTAACATTTCTTTTTAAATGTACATAAGGTGCTGCTTTTTTTAAATATTTACATTTGTTATATATATAAATGAAAGTTTAATATAACTTTTATAATTAATTTTGATTTATAAAAAAACTTAACAGTTTTATAATTTATTAATTATACATCTTCTAAAAAAAATACTGAGAATTAATAGGTATATATATTTAAGGGAAGTATGATGAAATATAAAACAAAATAGCAATTTCTTAAAAATATATATCACTTTCTTTATTTTTCTTTGCAATATAATCCTCGGAATAGTATTTTGTTGCGAGAGTTGTATGCCTTGCAAATATCTTTTTACATATTTATAGTAACACAGTATCCACGTTGTGAACAGTATGTTTCATGTGTGCACGTATGCACACGTAATTGATAACCAATTGTCATTTTGGAAACTAATTACATTTTATAATACATTGCAAAAGTGTTTTAGATTATTTAATATGTACAAGAAAATAAGATTGCAATATTAAAATCGACTAAACAATGTCCAAATTGTAAAATACAAACTTTGGTATATCGTTGCATGAATATTATACTGTCAAAAATATTCTAATATATGTATAGCATATCATTTTTGTACAAGACGTTCATATTTCTAAAGCTTTAGATCAATTATGCAGAAACTACCGAGGATTTAAACAATATCTTTTTGCGAAATAGACTTTTTTTTATATCGTTTTGCAAAACTACATGCCTGCCATTAAAATACAAAGTTTAAATGATAGCGGAACAACATCGGCAGCATTTCAAAAGTGAAAGAAGACAATCATTGAAAAGTGCGTGTTTTGAAATTCCACATATCGTTCCATTTTCTTTTTTCTTCTTTTTAAACTTCTTTAAACTAAGAGATTAGAAAAGTCATAAATTAGATTTTTCTTCCATATTTGATGTTGAAATGTACAATTTCCCCTAGTACGTCTGATATTTCTTTTTATATTCAGTTTACTTTGAGCGCTACTATAAAAATGACTGTGCACGCTTTCAAATTCTTCCATAAAATCACACACTTAACACTCCGCACGTATCGTGAAATTGTGAAAAATAGAAAATAACTTGAGCAAAAAACGAGGCATAGCATACAGCACACGTTATAAGATGGCATAACGTGTTTTGCATTACGTAGAACACTTATACTAACGAGACAAAATGATTTAAAATCACTAACATCTCGTTGACTAGCCGAATATAAATACACTATTGACAGATGTCAAGTAAATTCTGAGCAAACCCAACAAGCAATCAGTAGAAAAGGTGAAAAATAACATTTACATTCGAGCATCGATACTGCTAAGTAATTATCTTTTAGAATATAAAGTTTTACAACCGTGGTTGAGTTTCCACATAGCCGTTAGTCATTTCCATATTCGTACTAAAATTGATTTGTTCTTGACTCATATTCAGTGACTGAAATAATTTAAACGGCAAATAAAATCTTTGTAATCCTTTTACGAGACAATGTTTTGTAAATAATTGACAACGTAAAAAGCATTGTTAGGCTTTACTCATGTCTAATACCACATATAGATAAAAAGGTACTGAAATTATGTAAGTGCGTTGCCGGTATAATAGTAGTAACTAAATTTCGTGTAGAAAATTTAGAAAGAATGTCCTGAATAAAATTCGGTCCTGGCGAACTGCCGACTTTGTAGAAGATGCGTAGATTGCATGACGGATTTACAGTTTGGGATCCCTTTGTAAGCTTACATAATACGTATTCGAATGCTTCTGTTAATTCGTCTATAGTTAACTCTGTAGAAGATAAATTCGTTTCCGTTGCTAAATTACCAGTTGAATTGGACGAACCTAATTAAGATAAAATAATTTTTATTTGTTTATGAAAAGATGAGAAAAAATATTTAAACAAAAATATGTACCAGCAGACATATAACATACAATCGCTGAAACGGTATTTTCATAATTCCATCTACGTCTTATTGCCACTTTGAAATTACCTACGCATTTACCAGTCTCTTCATCTGTAATAAAATCATTTTTTAAAACGTGGCTTATTAAAAATTAATTCTCTTTATACTTACATTCAAACCTATTATTATCTCTATGAGCCCAAACGCACCATTCAACCTGAGCACCACGTGGAAGATTTGGTACAACGATGTAATCCACAATAGCATTATTTGTCCGTTTCTCCCATTCCTTTCGTGCGTCTGGTATATAACTAGAATGAGTCAAAAAACAAATACCTTGCACAATATCCCTGAGTTGCGTATTCGAGTCCATAGCTTTGACAATACGATCTATATGCCTCAATGTTAAACGACATTGTCTTTTAATATTTAAGTCCAGAATAGTCATACTACCAGGCACCAGTGGTATTTGTCCAGCAACTGAGATAATGTCACCCACCTATTAAATAAATAGATAAAATTTATTCAAATTATTGTGAAAAATGATATAATTCTTTTTTTTTTTAGTTTATACGTATACTGATCAAAAGAGATTCAAAATTGTCGCTTAAGTGTTTCTTTATATTACTTATAAAATGTTCAATCTCTTATTTTCATTCTAGAAAATTTTATTTTGTTTACCTCACTGTTGTGTTTCTTTTGTAAACCAGATGTGTGTGCGTGCGCGTATAAATGCGCACATACACACATTTTGTCTACATATACACACAGAGGACGCGCACGCAAATTGGTTTGAACGGTAGTACACTCACACGAACGGCTTGAGAATAAGGACCAATGTTTGCAGGTGCCCAGTGACTTATGCTCTGAACATGCATTGTATGTCGTTTGTGAATTTTCTTATCACCACAGTCTTGAGTTTCTTTATAGGCTATAGCATCAAGTACAACATGTATATTTAACGGACATTCCACGCATACGCGGACTGGTGGATTTGTCTTGCTCAAACATGAGATATAAACCTCGTTTATAGATATGTAATTCGACATATCTTTTATATATAACGTTACGGCAACGATGTCCGATATTTGAAGACTTTCCTTTTTGACTAGACCTAGACAGTCGATACGCGTTTTTTATCAATCTACATCAAATCCAGAATACGATATTACACAAAAAAAAAAAAAATTAACTAAAAGATGATTTAAAAAACTTAAAGTTTACCTACTGCTTAATTTCTCCAATGCCTCTCGCATCGCAGATTTAGCATCCGGATGTTTACCAGCGATACCACCAAACCAGAACCAGCCAGTTTGATTTCTATTCACTACTGGCATGTCAGGATAATCTTCTTCCTCGTATAAAATTTCCATAGGACTCGGAGGATTAAATTGACCTGAATTATCACATGTTATGTTGAAGTAATTTATTATATAATGAACGAAATAATTTAATCGATTGAAATTTACCAGAATTTGAAGTCCTTAAATTACTGCCTGTACGTTCATCACGTTCATCATTTTCATCTTCCGATAAATTACAGCCGTCGTGTAATTCTGGTCCAACTATTTCTGCGATATAATCAGATGGGGTTTTAATAGGAACATTTTTTAATCTTTCTTGTAACGTTAATCCTTCTATACCATTCTGAAAAAGTTTTTTTTTTATTTAAGTTCACTCAGAAGTTCATAAAAATATAAAATATTTCAACTTACATTTTTTTCTTGTACATGAATTTTTTTAAAGTTTATATATCCGACAGGTGCTATGTTATCATTTGAATGAACTACACTTTCATATTCGTCTCTAAAATTCAAAAAAATAGTATTTTTTTAGGTACTTGCTTCATATTAAAATCATATTGAACATTATTGATTATTTGATAACTTACATTACAATACTTTTACTAAATAATGGACAATCTAATATGAAGGTTTCATATTCTCCTCCTTCTCCACATATGTTAACACCATATTTTTCTTTCTATAAATAAACATATAACTATTAATATAATACATGTATCTGCTTATTTACTATTTAGATAAATTTTCTTTATATATATTTTTTATGAGTTATAGGAGTTATTTACATTTGGAATATTTCCAAGATAAAATCAAATATTTAGTATTAAATTAATCATTAAGACATTTTACTTACTATTTTGGCAAGATGAGATTGCATTTCAGAAAGTGATTTACCCAAATGCCTTGGTTCAAGGCCTAAAGCTGCTACTTTAATTATAACTGCATTTACAGAACTTTCTATCATTTCCTTCAGTAATTCATCTTGCTCCCTTCTCCATAGATATGACAAAGAAACAAGTCCTAAACGACTACATCTGAAAATAAACTTTCATTATTAGATATTTTCGTCATTATTAAAATAAAAATAAAAATTTATATTTTCTATTTAATAAACTTTTTCATAGAAATTAAATATTTAACAAAAATTTGCATCGAGTAATTGTAATTACACATTTTCCACACGAATTCGTTGATAATCACTCAGAATAGCTCCTGATGAAACAGCTTCTATATTCTCTTTTTCCTAGGAAGTTAATGAAGTTAAAATAATTAAACTAATATAATTACTCTATGATGTGTTTTTTACACCTTACCTTCACTTTAGTTAACAACCTAAAGAGATCTTCGACTTCATCATTTTCTGTTGGATAATAATATTTTTCTTGCATTTTTGATCTGCCAAAGGTTGGTTCACGATACATTGGTAAACCTATAGCTTCTGCAATATATTCAACACCTTGATATCCAACAGTTTGAAACATAAATGAATCTAGTTCATCTATAAATCAGTTGTTTCATTAGTTAGCTGATTGAAACAAATTAAAAGATTTTATTATCTATTATTTACCTTTTCCAACTGGATATAAGTTGGCTAAAGCCACAATATCATGACCTGCAGCTACACATTGCATCATGTTAAAGCATGAATCTTTACCTCCACTGACTAGTGCAACAACCCTCATTTTGTTTAATTTACACTCAGACTCTCTCAAAAATATTTATCAAGAGCTTAAGAGTATAGTCTGAGTAAACCTGAATATATTGTTTTAGACAAACATCTGTAATAAAACAATTTAAAAAATTCAATAACTTATCAATGATAATCTTGTCATATTGGTAAAAGTAAATTTTTTTTATGATAACAAACAAATAAAATCACAAATATTTTTTTAGACACAGACATGTACATTTATATCCATATGTGAATGCACAAACAATATAGAAAAAATATCTCAATAACTCATTTATTAAAAATCATTCTTTTATTTGTAACAGTTATATTAAGACAAACTATGTAAACACAGATTAACAAGTATTTATTATCAGAGATAAGGAAATATGTAAGCTATAAACAACATAATGATAGGAGCTTATTTAACATATTTAAAATTTTATATATATATATATATATATATATATATATATATATATATATATATATATATATATATATATATATATATAATTTGCAAGTGTATATTAAGCTAAAATTAAATTTACAATGTATACACATGTCTTTCTTGAATAGTCTAATGTATAAATAATACAATGTAAGCATTAGTATTTCTCAATGAACAATATACAATTCAGAATATATTCACAAAAATTCTTTTTTTATCTTTTCTTAATTTTAGCACATTTTCAAAAAAGAAAACGATGTATATTAGCTAACTAAATAAAATCTTGCAGAAAAAGAGACTGAAAAAGATATCGGATATTCAATTTATCTTATTAATGTGTGTAACAATTGGCTGGTGAACAAAAATTAATCACTGTACTATTCTAAACAGTAAACGTCACATAATCCGAAAAAAATCTCGATAGGACTTAGATTCTTTTTAGGAGAGTTATAGAACTAGATGATTTCGAGTAAAAAATGTAACATTAATGAGATGTTAGAAAAAAATCGGCTATTATTAAGGAAAAAAAGAATACCTACGGAGAGATTTTTTGGTTATTGCCGATCTCGGCTAAACGAGAAATATTACGGAATGACGCCCAGCAACGAATTGCACGGGGAACGCAAACGATAATTTCGAACTTATGTATGCTAAAATAAACTCTAAATTCTCAACAAATGTAATATTTACATTAAATTGGTGACGAACGTTCCTTACACGGCAAAGTCTATCAGAGACTGCGATTGCTTGATAGTGGCGCCTCTCCGTGATAAAACTTTCAACATAAACTGTAGAATTGAGGTTATGACTTGTTTTAATTCTACGATTGTTTGTAATAGTTATTGAACAAGTTGCTTTTTGATTTTGTCTTTAATATACACTGTATTTACCATTATTGTAAAGTAATATTTGAAATTTGGCAAATTTATTACAAAAATTGATCTTGCTTTTGAGAGATTCTCAGGTGTACTTCGTGTCACTATACTCCGTGACATCATCAGTGTATAAAATATATCGATGTCTCGTTCAATCTGCTCCTATGCTATAATTTACTGATTGTGATATAACTTAAACCAAATCGTAATTTAATCATAATTTCTTCTTTCTTGCATGCATTATTTGTTATTTTTCTATAGTTCCACTTATATCATAAAACAAGGATATGATTACTGCAAAAATGAAATATCTAGTATCAAATGCGTATTAGGATAGAACTGGATTGTAAGAATTTTCAAATTCATGTTTTTTCGAATTACATAACTTCAAGTCATTTGTTTATTAATATCAGCGTCACTTGTTTAAGAATTTACTTGACATATTCCAATTATAATTATAGAAATAGATTATTGAAACTGACATATACGTTTTCATTTACAACACGAAATAAAATCATAATCATTTCCATATCTTGTATGATATAACAATATTTTAGAATCATTATTATTTAGTTTATAAAAATAAACGGATTTCTAAATGGATTCAAAATCGTCATGTATTTTTAAACTTAATGTTAACGTAATTCCACTAAAAATTGACAGTTTTATTATTTTTATGTATAAAATTTCTTTACTTAAGTTTTGTATAAATTCAATAAAAAGTGCTTTTGCAACAATTATGAAGGAGTTATTGCAAATATCTGATTTTTGAAAATACAATTAATTTCGAAATATATTGAAAATTACGTTGCCATCTTTACTTAGTAAATCGTTGACCAATCGGATCACTTTCAATAAGCAGCCATTTTACTTTCGCTACGGTCACACGAAGCGCAAGCTAGACTCTACGGAGCACGGTGTAGTCGCTTGCATTGCAAGTTTCGTTGGTTTTCCGTACGGAAAATCTTTGGTAGTGTAATAATCCGGTACAAAGTAAATCGAAGAAAGGCTGGAGAATGGTTTTGGCAGAAAGAAACTCGGAAAACGTTAGAAATGGACGCAGATCGAGAGGCCCCAGCCCTAATGGACAGACGGAATCTTCGAGCGAAGAAGACGGAGGTACCAATTTCATATTGCACTTAAATTATTGTTTAATCATTATAATCTTCTAAAGTCTTATTTTAATTAATATATCATATATATGTAGCAACTCTAAGAATATATTCTTCTTGGGAAGTTTACATATTTTTATATTGATCGAACGCGAAAATCCGTAAGGATCTTCAAACAGCGCGCCCCACTTTTCCTCTTTTTTAAGCTTCTCTCATTTTCAACCAATTTCTATGAATATTAGGCAAATTTTAAAAAACTTGTTTAATTATACCGAATTGTCTTATTTGCGTATATTGTTCAAATAATATATTATTTTTTCTGATCGAATTAAATAAATTACTATTGACTCTATATGTGTAATTATATATTAGAGTAATTTGTAGCAAGTAGTGTATTAAAAAATGTATTTAAAAATCATGTAAATGAGAGAAACATTTTTCATTTTAGTTTAATGTTCTGTATTTAACTATGCAATAAGTTCACTCACATTTTTTTATTGATTTGAAATTTTTGCATTTATTAAACATTATTATTTCCCTAAGTTCCAGCAGAAAAAATCCGCGTTGGAAGAGATTATCAAGTCATTGTTCCAGAATTTGTTCCAGTTAGTGGTATGTTATTTAAACAGAATTATTCCTAAAAGATTTTTTCATTATTTCTCAATTAAAATTTAAATTATCTTTTCTCAATTAAAATTAAAATGATTCTTTTCATACTTCTATCTTCATAATTATAGATTTTATATTTTAGAACGACGACTCGATCAATGTCCTGATAGGGCACTATTAGTATGGTCTCCCACTACTGATATACCTGATCAAAAATGTAAATATAAATTGTTTTATTTACTTGATTTTCTATAATGCACTAATCATACAAATTTATTGTTTTTTTTTTTTGTAGTGGATGAGTATATTATATTAGCAAAGGAAAAATATGGCTATAATGGAGAACAAGCATTAGGAATGTTATTTTGGCACAAACATAATTTAGAACGTGCTGTATTAGATTTAGCTAATTTTACACCATTTCCTGATGAATGGACAGTTGAGGATAAAGTTCTTTTTGAACAAGCATTTCAATTCCATGGGAAAAGTTTCCATCGAATTCGTCAAATGGTAGAATCTTTTCTGAATTAAAAATTAAAAAATACAAAAATTGTATTGTAAAAAAATACAAAAATTATTTATATTTTTGTGTTTTACATTTACAGTTACCAGATAAATCTATTGCTAGCCTTGTTAAATATTACTATAGCTGGAAAAAGACAAGAACTAGAACATCACTGATGGATAGACAAGCAAGAAAACTAACAAGTGGTGGAAAAGAAGGAGAAAATGGTAGTGAAAATGGGAGTGAATTAGGTTCCAATACAGACAGTGAATCAGAAGAAAAAGTAAGATATTTTTTAAATATCTAACAAATGCATGCACTTTCTTTCTCTTTCTCTTTCTCTCTCTATATTTAGAATAATACTTCAAATCATAAATTACCATAAAATACTAGTTTCAAATGTTCTAATAATTATAAGTATAAAAATTAGAATAACAAATTTGTTTATGTTGCTTGTTACTTTTTTTATAAACAAAATTAGAGCTTTTTGTTTCCATCTTAATTTTGCTACATTTTCATCAAATTATTTTAAGTAAATTAACATTTGTGCTATTGCGTGTGATAGTGTTCTCCTCTTGCTGCATTTTAATGCCATGGCACTGGCTCGAAATCGTATATATATGTATATATATAACATATATGTATATATATTTATACACATATATAATGTGCAGTAATACACATCTAAAAAATGTATCCACACGGTAACGTATTCCATGCGGTGAATAAAACGAAAATAATAAGAACACTGATCTACAATTGGTGGAAATTGTCAGAATTACGAATTAAAAGATGAATATGAAATGAATATGTTTTATATATTTCCTTTATATATTCATATAAAAGGAAAAAGTTTCAATTTAAATATATAACACTTCTCGTATCTCAATAATTTTCTAAACTATTAAAAAAAGTTACGTAACATCAGTAATACAAGATTAAAGTTAGTTAAATTATCGTTGTATCGTGTGTGAACGTAAATGTGGAACGTTCTAGAAATGGACGATCCACCGCGGAATACGTCGTGGAAAGAACCAAGCTGTGCCAGGAAGCCAAGGCACTGACGCCAAAGCCCCATCCGACTCGGAAAACGCCCCTCAGGTTCAGGTACTCAGCCTAAACCTTACCCTGTTGCATAGCATAGTATGCTTATTATATTTTGCTACTTTTTTGTCGTCCCTTATTTATTGTTTCCCTGTCGTATATTTTTCTTTCTTTATCAAACAAAACAAAATTTTGCGAAAATAATTTACATAGTAGAACTGATAGGCTGAAACCTTACTGAGGAAAAAATGTTGAAGCCCAAAAATTATCTGATATGACGGAGATTTACATATCTCATGAACTTGTTAAATTCGAAAAAATTGGCTTTTTATTACTTTAAAAGTTTACTAAAATCATAGAACTACAAGAAGTTCGGAGCTTCTAATTTTTTATGGCGGGCCGAATTAATATTTCTGGATAGAGTTTTAAATATGCCCATGTATATATTTCATTCTTTTTGTAATAAAAGAAAATTCCTAGAGATTAGTTTAGATACATGTTAAAAAATGTTAACTGATGGAACGGGTGGGGGGATGGCTAGAATATATTTAAAAAGGGTATTATGTGTTGTAGGGCTCGTGTAGCAATTGTGGCGTTGCTTGTCATAGTGTTCGTGCGACGCCGAAAGGACACGCGTGTCACAGCTGCTATCTGCACTGGAGGTCAGTGAGCGCAAGTTAAATAAAATTTCAATAATTGAAAAATCATTAGAGCTTTTTTGAAATTAGAATGTTCATGCACGTGTTTCATTATTAATTAAAGAATTACAAGAGATTGTTACCAAGATAATAATATTTATAAATAAAGAAACTTTTTAACATATACTTTTATAAGAATGCATGAGCATTCTTATTTATGTGTTATTTAACATCTTTGGGAGTTAAAAAATCAGAATAATTGTAGATCAGATATATTCACTGATTTAAAGAAAGCAGTTTACAAATTTATTTAAATGATTTAGGCGAACTGGTGTAGCAAGACCATTAAGTTCCATGCCAGGTCGAACAAATAAAAGAAAACCACCTCGCGGTCTTGTTGTTAATCATGATGATCTAGCAGCATTGGCTGGCCAACCTACTCAAGCAAACAACAGCTTACAAGCGATTGACACTGAAATTGTTAGCCTAAAACGCCAAGTACGTTTCACAATAAAATAAGATGAAACGTGTGGATACATTTTTATATGAAAAATCGATATCATTTATTGCTCGGTTAACAGAACCTAAAATACCTAATTTTTTATTTTAAAATATAGATTCAATCAAACAAACAACAAGTGAGCGCATTGAAGCGTAAAACAACTGACGGTATTGATGATTTACGGCCACCAGAAGTTTCCAGTCGTATAAATGCTCGTTGGACAAATGATGAATTACTCTTGGCCGTTCAGGGTGTTCGAAAATATGGGAAAGATTTTTCTGCGATTGCTGATGTAATTGGAACTAAAACAGAAGCTCATTTGCGATCGTTTTTTGTAAATTATCGACGAAGGTATAATTTAGATGCAGTCTTAAAAGAATATGAAGCTGAAAATGGCCCGATATTAATTGACGATGAAAAGGAAGAAAAGGTAAAGTAATTTACTTTGCTTAGAATATTACTTAGGATATTGCTTAAATATTAGATAAATATTGTTGGATATGAATGTTTCAGATGGATGTTGATCAGCCAAATGAAACAGCAGAATCATCTCAAAAAACGAAATCATCCGTAGGACTTGGACAAACGGCTAAATAACAAATGACTATACTTTTGAATACGAACAAACGTGAAAAAAATAATCACAGACACTTTGATAATCGATAATATCATGTAAAAGGTATTTGTTTATAACAATTTTTACTTTTAATTTCATTTTTTGTTGCGTATTACTGATGCAGTATTAGAATACTGCATTAGGAATATCAAGTATGAGCAACAGTTTCCGTTAAACTTGTGCATAAATTAAAAATCCATAAAATACATGCGTGAATATTTATTAATAGGAACGAAAATGTGTGAATTTATTTAAGTAGATTTATTTTTAATATAGTATATTTATATATGTCTAAAATGGATTTTTTATTAAGCAATATAAAGGAACTGTAATTCTATTAAAGACATTTAGCAGTAGTAATTATAAGAAAAAATAGATTAAAGATTAAATTAATGCATCCAAGTGCAAATATAAGAAGCATTTTTGTAACATCCATTGTATGCAATTATGGATGCAATAATTTTTTTTCGAATAATTGTATTCTGTAGCATGTAATATTTTTAGGTATACATAAGGATATACAGAGTCCCATTTTAACTAATGAAAGTAATTTAAATACAAAATTATTCATTTTTATTGGAAAAATTGTAAAAATATTGAAAAAATTATATAGTTTAGAACATTAAGAAAATCAGTTATCGTTTAGTAAATCCAATTTTTATATAGTAATAGAATTAATAATAATTTCATAATGGAGTTTAACGACATTTTATCTGTGCTCAAATATGAAATATATATTCTTAAATTTTGTTATTATAGTAACGTTATGTTTTTATTAATTTCAAATTTCGCATGCATTTTGTGTCAATTTATATTTTGTATATATTTAATTTTTTGTAAAGTATTTATGAGGAATTTACATGATTCATATTACAAAACTTAGAGTAAAAAAAATATATGTAGATGGAAGGAGATAAAAAGAGCATTCAATTTATATATTTCATTAATTTATTTATATATTTTATTTATTTAAAATGTTTTTTAGACAGTTCTCGTGATGATTTCGTAATTAATATATAAATCGGAAGAAAATTCTTGTCTTGTGCCTATGCATTTTTGGGCGTATGAAAAAAAAAGAAACAATAACAAAATTTGAAGAAATTTTTCCCCTTTACTTCCTGTTTGCATATTATCTATTTAAAGTATAACATTTAAATTTACCGAGAATTAGACAATCTTCCATTCTGTATTGAAATAAATAATAAAGATCTGGATAGAAAGAGAAATTTCTTCCAAACTTTTAAATTTTTCGTATAGTGGATTATAGTTACTCAAAACTCTAGCAATTTCAGCTATAGTTCACATCATTAGTGAAAAAATTAGAAAAAGTTTAACGCAATCATTGTTAAATTATTTTATTTAAAATATGAAATCAATGATTGCGTTGAATGATGTATCATTAAAAGAAGAATGCTCAACAAAAGAATACACTTTTATTCAAATTTTAACTGAAAGAATTTAATATTTTATTAAAATACATCACAATAGAAATTTCTTTTATTAGTTTTATAAAAAAAGTAAATTTGAGGAGTTGAAAATTGTGCTATTAAAAATATCAAATTAAGGAGAATATATTTTTATGGCTTGCTGCTACATACTCAATCCAAATGTATAAAAAAAGAAAAGAAAAAGTAATGGTTCCTGATATTTCTATTATATTATACAAAATTATATGTATATTAAAATTGTCCGTATTTCAAAATAATGGTGCTTCTATATTTAAAAGCACAAAATTTTGTATTCCTATAAATAGGGAATATTTTAATTGTAATAAAAGATTCTATTGAATAATTTTAATTGGACAAAATATTTCATACAGAAAGGAAAGCATACTAAAGTATGTAGTTGTTTGTGTAACATTAAATATTTGAACAAATATAAAGTACATGTAGTCCGCTTACACAAATCTATTTTAAAAGAAATTATTTAATGCGGTCAATTGTCTAGAACTTAATAATAATTATATAATAATTATAGAATTTAATTGGAAAGAAATAAATATTGTTAAATAATATTTTCAAGACAAATTGACTTCCAATGATTTTTCGTTGTTTTGCGATAGAACGTTTAAAATCATATAGGTGTAATTTTACTTATAGTTTCATGTGTACATCCACATTTACTATTAGTAGTAATAGTTATATAAGATCGTTAGTTTAATATTTGTCTAGATAGAATTTACTACTTAATGCTAATAAAAGAAAACACTCGCAAGTGTGTGTGCACGATTTCTTTTACAAAAGATGGTATTCTTGAAAATGATTGTGAGATTAGATAAACTTTAGAAATTATTATATAACATCAATGTAAATATGAATGATCACCAAAGAAAAATTTACTGTAATCGTTAGTAACATATCACAAAGGTGGATGAAATATCCGGCAAGAAATATTTTGCTGAATAAGTAATTTGCCAATTTAAATGAAAAAAATATATAGTACGATTAAAACAGACTAGCCAATTATTTGAAATTTTTATTGTTTCTTTTTCTAATATAATATTTCATTCAAGCATAATGTAATGATTTTAAAGTATTAAAATTTTTAATGAACAGAAGAGCATTTTTTACTTGCACAGTAATGCAAGAGAAACTTCTAAAAATATTTAATGAGAAATAATCTATTATATTCTGATCGTTCTTTTCATCATATTCTTCATTAAATCGTACAGTTCTGGTATGTGCAATTTTTTTCACACACGAAAGCATGGCGGAGTGTTCAAACATATAATTAAATATAAGCTTTCATAGTTTAAGATTGAAGAAGGAAGTCACTTTAAAATATTTTGCTATGTGGATATTCTCTTTTTCCGCTAGAAGCAACTTCTTTCTTCAATACTTATTGAATTACGAATGCATTTAAACGAGAGAGATGATACGCGATCAGCGAATAAAAGATTTTTCAAACAAATAAACTTGCTTAATTTCTAGATATACTTTTGAAATTGAATTTTTGTAATTTAATATATATTTATATACATATATTGCCAATTAGTAGATTATTTACGTAAGATTCGGATACTTCATGAAGCACATCATTATATGATACTTTTAACTTACGGACAAGATTTTTAGTTAAAAAAATTTTAAAAATTACATGTTTTGAACTATATTATATTTGATAACATTATATAAGAGTGTTAATTGTAGATACGACAAAGTACGAAGAACGGAACATATGAAATGAAAATTACATAGTATGTAATATATATACATATTCTACGACCGTTCAAAATTTTCTAATATTCTAATGCAATTAATGTAGCATAATGTAAATATAAAGTTACAAGCTTTGTGAATGTATACACATTCATATGTCCGTAAAGTGTACAGATGTATTTATTCAGAAATATTAAATATCTCTTGTGTACTTTGATGGGTTAAATATATATTTATTTCGAGACACCTTAACAGAAAAAAAAACGATAAATATCTAATTATGAAGCTTCCGTTATTGCTTATCATTTATTTCATTAAAATTGTACATTACATATTATTATCTATAATTCTGTATTACAAGTTTTTGTTTCATTAATAAATAATCTACATATTTAGTATTTAAAACAACTTCTAAATTAGTATCATCGAAATAACATTCTTTTTGTAGTTGATATTTCGATTCATGCATTCCATTATCGTATTCTATCACACTAAGGTTATTATTATGACCGTGCTTTTTTCGTTTCATGTAATAAAAACAAAGATTTAGAAACTTCGACTCTTCTCTATAAAAAGGATTATCATCATGGTAAAAAGGATTTTCAATAATCGTGTTGCTATCAAAATTTTTAATACTGTGTGTGAACAATTTTACGAAAAATAGATTCATATCATTATCCATAGGAAAATTTAATTTTTCAAGTATCACTTCGGATAATAATTTTTGATATATAAATTCATCGTGCCCTAAACTTTCATATTCACTGTTAATTGTCTGTAGAACATGCATCTTTAGATTTTCAATAATAACTTCACGTATCTCTGTAATTTCATCTTTCAGTAGAATTAAACAGCAATGTAAAATGGTTAATTTATTTTTACTTGTTAATTCTGCAAATCGATAAGCTGCGAATTTCGTAAGTTCAACTGCTATTCGCCTCGTATGTTCTTCTTCGTGAACACTTAATTCAAGTGCCTGAGACAGTACTTCGTTTATCATTATCTCATTTCGAGAAAAGATTCTCAATATGCATTTCAAAATCCATAAATTAGAATATCTTACAGTTTCTAGTTTTTCAATAAACAGATCTTCTATTACTTTCTGAATTTCTAATTCACTTATATCTAGTAGAGGCCAATGCTTCAAAGTTTTCAAAGAGTAGTTTATCATTGCGTTTAAAAGTAATTCATTATAATCATATTCATTCAGCAATAGACATTTGAGCACAATTTTTAAAATTGGAATACTACATGACACATGATTTAAAAAAGAAATACCTTGATCGATGCAAGGGGAGTACAAAATTTTATGTAAAATATCAATATTAACGTTATTCGTGCGATTTACATAGTTGGCATACAACTTTGTAAAAAGATCTACAAATTGAAAAAATCCTGGTTTTATTTTCTCAGAAGAGAGTAGAGATCTATTTTCGTTAAAAGTAAATACATCTTCATCAGAGATCTCGCCAGAAATAAATTCTTTTGATTGTAAAAATAGCACTTTTATTATATAACATATTTGTGAAGTATTTTGTTTTCCTTTGGACACACTTCTCCAAATTTGTATTATTTCTCGAAATCGTAGCAATTCTACAGATTGCTCTGATGCATGACACGTGTATCGTTTGAACATAAATTCATAATTCGAATATAAATTCATACTTTCGATTTCAACGGATAATTTTTCCTTGAGAAATTTTATAGTTAACAAATAACCATGAATTAAATTAACATTGTGACATGAAGAAATGTCGTACCTTAATTTCTTAAGTTCGAATTCAATTTGTAAGAAATTTGTTAATGCCGCATATGCTTTTGCAGCTAAAAATCTGACATACAAGATAGGATTTTCAAATAGTACGTAAAGTAAACGTTTCACCTTTGACAAATATTCTTGCGAGGAATAATCAATTAAATTACAAGCACTGCATGAAAATTTCGAAAGGAGTATAAGAATGTGAACGATATTTGAATGTAAATATAAAGCAGTAGAAAACTTCGTAAACGTAAACGAAAACTTATACAATTCTTTCATGACATGATCTGCAAGGGCCGGATAATGCGTAACAAAATGATTAATTGAATAACCATTTCCAAAATCTAACTTGTCTCCATAACTTTGACCTATTAATCTTGGAACTATGGAACCAAATAATTGTAGACTTGCATTTCTGACAGTCCATATTTCTGATTGCAAATATTTGAAACAAGTCAGAGAAATTTTCTCCATATATGGAGTTAACTGTGCGTGTATTTCTTTATCGGCTACTAAAGCCCGTAAAAAGTGCAAACGTCTTGCCCACGGAGAATCGTGCTGTGACTCTATACTGATTAAATTGTCATCAGAAATGTCACTCAACAGGTCTAATAATTTTTGTACCGCAAAATGCAAAAGGGGTCTATCTCGCCGATTATCGCTAACGACAATTCTATGAAACATTATTGACAATCCAGCACCCCTTCTGGTGATGTTTAAAGAATGCATAAAACCATCTTCTAATATACGTAATATATGTGTTTTTGGTAAATTAGAATACTTAGTTTCTTTACATAAACATCTGAAATGATTGAAGAAATATGATTGATATTTAGTTTTCTTATTATCCTATTAGTATTTGAATTATACCTAGTTAGTTGTCCTATTGCTGTACCTGCTGCTTCCACCACTCCTTTGTGTCTACATCTAAGTAATACAGTAACGATGATATTGGCGGAACGCTTAACCATATCATCGCAATGCATTAATGTACCTATTTCACAAGCTATTTCACAGCAGACCTAAATGGAAAATATACTTTATTATTTTATATTTGTTAAAATTAAAAAATGAAGACGTTTACCTTTAAAGACATCCAAATGCAAGAAATGAGCACATGATGCGCAGAAGTTAAATTTAAATCATCGAAATTGATGTTCTCTATCTCACTGTTTTTAATCGTTTCATTAATGGCTAATCCCATTTCCGCGAACGATGATGAATATTCTATAAATTCAGTTACAATTTCATTCAATGTAAAACATTTTTTTAGCTATGTTATTACATTGAAACTGAGTAAACTGTACCTGTATTTTCCGATTTTGAAGAAAGTATGTATAGAAAGAAATCTGTGGCATCTTCTAATAGATACAACACTTTTTCAATGAATTCGGAAGATATATCAGAACTTTTTTGACAATTTTGAAAAGCAATATTCAATAAAGCAGTCATCACGCCATAAAATGGTTTATTTTGAACAATTGCTTTTAATACATCATCTTTCATTTGTGTTAACTGACTCTTAGCTTCATTAAACAAGAAATCTGAATATTTCAAACAATCATAATTCTTATAATCTCGTAAAGTATTCAAAGGTAGCCAGTGTATTAAAATTGACATAAGAGCCGCACCACTTTCGATTTCATAGAATTTGGAAGAATTACAAGTTTTCAACGCCGTGTAAAATAATACCTAAACCAATAATATCTTCTTTTAAATGAAAAACAAATTATTGAAAAAAAGATGAATAATATTCTTACTTGTTTCTCCACATCAGATAAGATGTCTTTATTGAAATAATTAAGAATAATAGAGGTAGCTAATTGTTTGACATCAAGTGCAGAATCCAATACAAGTCTTAATAAGATAAATAAACTCTTTTTGTCTGTGAATTTCCAATTTCCAGTTGTTATTAAATGTTTTTCTAGTGATGAAATAGACAAAATATTTTCAACATTGTTGGTCTTATTTATCAGAAACCCATTGGTAAATGAAAGTATAGTTCTATATAAATTTAAACCAAGAATTTTTCTTTGATAACAAGAACCAATTTCGAAACAATCTAAAAAGAATTCATGTAACCAATGTGTAATATAATACACATCATGTATGCAGTCTGGATTATTATCACACATTTTTAGAACATTAGTATAAAATATTTTAAAATATTTCACAATCCCATTTCTCATGTAGACTGTTGTACTATTTGCATTATGCCATAGAAAACTTCTTATGGTAAAAAACCGATCTTTATTTTCATTGTACAATTTGTTTACTTGGTAACAATTTATGGCAAATCCATTCAATCTTACGATTTCTTTATTATGATTTAAATAACATTCAATCTCTGCTTGTTGTGGAAGATCAATGTGCATTTCACAAGCCATTTTTTGAAGATGTGAACGTAAAATATGTTCTCTTATATCTGTGATTAAATTCCACAAATAAGGTAAAAGATTTCTGTACTTTTTAACAACTGGTTCAAGCCAATGTTTGCAGAGTAACTGAAGGACATTGTGATTTTCACTGTAATTAAATATCCACATTTAAACTCAAATTTTCTGTTATTTGTAAAGATTTGATGATTTAACTCACTTTGATTCCCAATGGTGAAACAGATAATTCATTATATGTCCAAAGGCTTTTTTCCATTCATTTTCGCTTAATTTTTTTACAATCGCAAGATAAACTTTAGTACCAGGCGACCGCAAATAATATTTTGTTAAGCTACTACACAAAGAAAATAAAAAATCACGGGATGTAATAATTTTAGTTTCGTCCCAAATTTCGCAAATTTCCGCGAGTATATCATATTTTATTTCGTTCTGCCAAGAAATTGTATCGACACAATACTTAAACAGATACTCCAAATATCTGTCATATTTTTTTCCCATTATTTTCAGGTACATATTAAAAATAAGTGCTGAATTTTGTTTACTTATGTCATTAATAGCATTACACCAATTTGAAAAAATAATCATTTCAAGTCTTTGCTCTATTTCCGAATATGTGCTCCAAAAAGTTGTGTTTATAGTTCTTTGCAACCACGTACATAATATTTTATACGCAAAATAAGAATGTTTAGTATATCTTATACAGTGATCGAATATAACATCGAAAATGAGGAAAAAGATATCATTAGAATATATTTCATTGTGATTTACTTGCAAATATCCATAAGCGCAAATCAGTTTAAATAGTTCATTTTCAACGATATTATATCTTTTATCAAAAATGTATACTTCATTGCGTTTAGAATTCAGAAAACTTATAAAAATTTCTTTTAGAAATGATAAGTTAGATTGAATTGATAGTAAAGCAAAAAATGTATGGGAAGCCAACAAACTTCTTTCTCTATTTTCTGTATTTAAGATAAAAGCTTCTATAATATGTATATGTACTGGTTGCCATTGTTTCAAATGTTCATTATCCCAGGATTCTTTGCATGATGAAGCAAAGTTTATCAATTTCTAAAAAAATAATAATAAAATGCTATGTTTACAGTTATATAGATAAACAGTAACAGAGTTATATAGTAAGCAATAATGATTATAAATAGAACTATATTAATAGAATCATAAAATACTAACTCTGAAAATAACAGTGTCTTCTGTATGTGTTTGCAATTCTTTGATTACATGATTCAATTCCATATTTTTTGTACACATTTCGCTATTGCAATTTAGTAACAGAAGATTCAATTTAATAATTATATATATTATATATATTTTTATTCCCTAATCATACGTGTTTGTATTTGTTGTTTGAAAATTAAAAACTGCTTTTGAGGTATGTGCTGTTGCATCTGACTTGTTTGTTTTGTCTCCATCAAGGCCGCATGTCCTGCAATTAATACGTAATGATGATATTTCTTAAAACTTTGCCTTTTTAAGCAACAACAAAAATAAATAGAAAACATAATGCCTGCAAAATCATAAAAACATTCGAAAATTTAAAAAAGATAATGAATTATTGGTTTAAATGTAAATAAGCATTCAGCAGCCATAAAATTAGCTTCTGTATAAGAATTTCTATGTGCCAAATAATTGAAAAAGAAAATATGATTTACTTTCAATATAGTGGATTAAGGATCATCATATAATATAAGACAATATTGTTACTTGCATTTTTTTATTATAAGTAATAAAAATAAGAAACTTTAATTCAGAAACAGTTCAATAATTATTAGTTCAAATGTAATAAATTATAAATTACAATTGCTAAATTAGTTTTATATTTTATGTTGCATTTTGTTCTTCAGGAACATACCCCCCTTGTTCTAGCTGCTCTTTGAATTTCAAGTACTCTCGTTTACGATCAAAGTGTTTTACCTAGTAAAAAGTGATAAAATGAAGATTTAATAAAAAAGGGACGGGCATTACATGTAGGAAAATTATTTTTAGTGCAAGATCAACCTTTTAATAAGTAGAACTTACCCATAATGCAGGACAAAACTTTTCATACTGTTCTCTAAATTTTTTACATTCTACTTCTGTTTTACCATCATCAAGACATTTCCAGTATTCATCCCTGTGAGACCAACATCTTATACGATCTTCTTTACTTGGGAAAGACATCCTAAAATAATCCAAATCATATTTTCTGTTTTATACTTATTTATACTACATTCTTTTTTTTTTTTCATTAACATACACGTGTTCTTTTTCTTTCAATTTAAAACAGACGTTTTTAATAAATTTTTAAATACATTTTAATAAAAAGTTATAATATTCAAGCTCAAAAATACTTATCCACATTAATTATTTTGGAATTGAAACTTATTAGAAATTGAATAGAATTCTTACTTACAGATTCAAAATTTGTTAGAAATACTTAGTTTTGCAGAAATTAAAAATAAAAACCTTAAAATAAAACAAAATGATTACATAATCTTGGAACAGTGTAATTTAAGTATTAAGTTTAATACAAAAAAATTGATTCTTTTTTTTATTACAAACTTAAAAATGATTTTCACAGACATAATTCAGTAATTTAATTTTTTAATTATTGTATTGGATATGATCTGTATTATAGGTTTCTCGAAAGAATGGATTTCGTTTTATTAAATAATTTCTAAGTTTTTTAAATATTTTGATGAAATATATGTAAGTATACATATACATAAAAAATATGAAACAAATAAATTAATAAATCTATCTTATTTATATTTTCTTTTTCACATAAATTAAGATTATTGTAGTAGAGAAACATGGAAACTAACCTGTTTTCTTACAGCACAACATATAATATTATAACATGAGATTATAGAAATTTTTGTTCACAATATTTATATTTGCTTTTTAAATTATAGATATATATTACTTTTATTTTTTAATTTAATATAAATAATATAAACTTTCCAACACAAATTACAAAGTTCTTGCAAGCAAAATTTACTTTTTCCGTTTTGTGCAGATAAAAAAATTTGATTCATTACTTAAATTAAAAAAAAAAGAAATATTTGTTGGATTATTTTATAAATAAAAAAAGTACACGCGTTCTCATAATATTTTATATTCCCACATGTACTTACTAAATGGAATAAAATCAGTGTTGCCAATACATACATACGTAAATTAATTTACGATTTTTAAGAATATGATTTGTTCCTAACCTGTATATAAAAATAGTAATAAGCTACTAATGAAATATAAATATTTATTAACAAAATTAATAATGAAATGAATTAAATTACGACATCTATAATGCTTATCTTTGCTTATTCTGGTTTTATTATATACAAATACATGTATATTAATATTTCATTAACAACAATTACAAATTTCAAGATGCAATATTCAATTTAATATGCGAGGGATGAAGCATTTAACATTATTAATTTAAATATATTGTATATCCTTCATAGTAGTAAAAAAATGCCAAATTTATACAATCTTAAAAATCATTGCTTATTACATCATCAATAAGAAAAATACATTAATAATTAATATTGTCAATTGCATCATCCTAAAAAGATTAAAAAGTAACAGGTACTATTTTCTATGTGAGATAAATTATGACTAAAATTATAACAAGACATGTGAACAACATTCCGCCAACTAGAATAAATCCATCCTGCCTTGCTCTTTGCTCTATTAGTCTCATTGTGGTTTTTGAAAGTCCTAGTGTATTTCCAATGTCTATCAGTTTCTTGTGAGCCCCTTTCAAAGTTATTCTTTGTGATCTCAAACTGTCTAAGATACTACTGCCACTTTGAAGGAGATCATCCACACCACCAATTGCATTTCTTAAACTATAATTGTGTTGCACATTATGATCTATCATAATATCAACGTGATCGTTTGTGGTAAATGTCCTAGACAATAATGCTTCCCTTTCAGCTTCTTCTCTTTGCTTTTTAAGCATTTTGTTTCGCCAAGAGTTTAAAGCAGCTGTGAGATGACGACTATCATACTTTAGTTGATCCACACGCATTTTAGCATTTTGCCTTTGAAATATAGGCCCTTTGAGGCACAATACATCCAATCTTTCACAATTACTAAAAAATAAAAGCACAAGATTGTATATTATTATTACATATGATTATCATTATTTATATATGTAAAGTAGATAAGCCTGGTTTAAGGTTTATAAATTCTTTATATAATTTTTTATATAAAAAAAAGACAAAAATCTTTTAAAACTACCTGTTGATGAGGTTTATTTTTGATTCTATGCTGTTCTCTATTTCTTTAACGTCTAGGTTAGGCGTTTTCTTCTCAAGCAATGAGAAAAGATGTTGTGTCTCTTGAACTAATTTGTTTGTTTGATGATATAAAGTTTCCATATTTATTAATAAATAGTTTCATTCGTATTTTAATATTCGCGAAAGTTATGACGTGTACGTACAGGTACTACTGTCAGATAGGATATTTGTAACAGTGGTTATCAAAAGCTATCAAAGAATATCTTCCAAGAACATTTTCATAGAATAAAGAATATAGATTGTTGAAAGTATTGTGCTCAAAGAACATTATTAAGTATCAAAGGATGATTAAGTCTCGAATAATATTTTTTATTTGTTAATTTATGAAGAAAAATATTGAATCTTCTAATTTTTTATAAAAAGTAAAAGTAATATCTCTTCTAGTTGAATGAAACGGAACCTACTGACATCTTGAGGTTTAAATCGCATGTAAGACACACTTTTGTAAACCGAATGAAATTTATGTTGGTAAATATAATTAAAAAATATAATTATTAAATGTACGTATATTCTTTATTGTATAATTGAACTTACGCAATTTTTTTTAATTTTCAGTGAGAATTATTTATAAATATGAAACACATCGGCTGACGGTGATAACCAAATCGTGTTTGTTGCACGTAATTCTTTCTAAACAGGAATTTATCGTTGATACAAATGGATATCGGTGAATTATTATCATACAAAGTATGTTTCATGCCATGTAAAATATTACCTATGATACAGTTGAAAATTTTTATCGTCAGAAATTTTGATGTTAACCTAAATGCACAATGTAAACTATTTTTAATTGCTATTATTTCTGTGTTTCTGTTTTCTTTAGCCGCCAAATACACCAAAAAGACCAGTCGCAGGAGAAGAAGACGATGAGGATGAATGGGAGAATGCAAAGAAGCCTAAAAGGGTAATTAAAACACCGTATCATGCACGTCAAAGGCAACCAAGAGAAATTGAAGTAACTCCAGTTAGAAGCAGTGAACCTCCTACACCTATTAGAGCTGCTTTACCTTCACCAGCAAATGACGTAGTTGAACCACAATTGACAGAGAAGGAAAAGCAAGATATTTTGAAATATGTTGAAACTGAAGCCCCGGAAATAGAAGCATTGGATGAAGCAACACTGAAAAGAATGGTCCTTCTGTTTGAAAAAAGAGCACTTAGGAACCAGGAGATGAGAGTGAAATTCCCTGATCAACCAGAAAAGTATGTAATTTTTTAATATCATGCACAGAAAGATCAAATTAAAAATATGAGAGTAACATATAATTTTAATTTTTGTAGATTTATGGAGTCAGAAGTGGAATTGCATGAAACTCTTCAAGAACTTCATGTTGTTGCGACAAATCCAGATCTATATCCCTTAATGGTGGAATTGGGTGCCGTACCTTCGTTACTTGAATTATTATCTCATGAGAATACAGATATAGCAGTTGGTGTGGTGGATCTCTTACAAGAGCTGACAGATGTAGATATTTTACATGAAAGTCAAGAAGGTGCTGATACATTGATTGATGCTTTATTGGAGCAACAAGTTTGTGCTCTTCTTGTACAAAATTTAGAAAGACTGGATGAAGCAGTAAAGGAAGAAAGTGATGGAGTTTATAATACTTTAGGTAATTATTATTGTATATTCTGTGTACTTTCAAATTAAATGAAATATTATATTTCGATTATTTTAGCTATTTTCGAGAATCTCTTAGAGTTTAGGCCAGATTTGTGTGCAGATGCAGGAAAGCAAGGATTAATGCAGTGGCTTTTAAGAAGAATCAAAGCAAAAACACCATTTGATGCTAATAAACTTTATGCTAGTGAACTTTTATCTATTCTTTTGCAAAACACACCAGAGAATAGGTTACTTCTTGGTGAACTTGATGGAATTGATGTATTATTACAACAACTAGCGGTAATATAATTCGTATTTTTTATTTTCTTGTATTTTTTTGTTGTTTTTATGCTTTTCTAAAATAATGTTTAAATAATTCTAGTATTACAAAAGACACGATCCTCAAACAGCCGAAGAGCAAGAAATGATGGAAAATTTGTTCAACGTATTATGTTCAAGTCTAATGGCAACTGTAAACAGAGATCGATTTTTAAGGGGCGAAGGATTACAGCTTATGAATTTAATGTTGCGAGAAAAAAAAATGTCTAGAAATGGCTCTCTTAAAGTGAGTAACAAGTTAGAATTTATGTTTAATTTTTATAAACAAATAATCACGTTATATTCAAGGTATTAGATCATGCAATGAATGGCCCAGATGGAAAAGATAATTGTAGTAAATTTGTTGATATCCTCGGATTGAGAACAATATTTCCTTTGTTTATGAAAACGCCAACAAAAAATCGGAAAAGAATGCTTACTGCGGAAGAACACGAAGGTAACTCGACCATGAATGATTTTTCTTAATTAAAGTTTTCTACGATATTTATATGAATATTTATTGTTGCAGAGCATGTAGTATCAATTATTGCAAGTATGCTTAGGAATTGTAAAGGCCAACAACGCCAGAGATTATTGAGTAAATTTACGGAAAATGATTATGAGAAAGTGGATCGCTTGATGGAGCTCCATTTCAAGTATCTTGAGAAAGTGGAGGAAGTTGAAAAGAATACAAAAGTTAGTAAAAGGATATAAATTTTGCAGATTATTTATTTACTAGTGTATTGTAATTATAGGAAGACGAAGATGAAGAAGAATCATATCTGAGAAGATTAGATGGTGGATTATTTATTTTGCAATTAGTGGATTATGTATTATTAGAAGCGTGTACCGGTTGTCCACCAGCAGTAAAACAACGAGTAACACGAATTTTAGCTCAAAGAAGAGCATCTCTAAAAACTATAAGGCATATTATGCGAGGTATGTTTTTTATTATTATTTTGTTATAGCACTATATTGTATATTTTTAATTTAATTATTTCATTAGAATACGCGGGAAATCTTGGCGATGCTGGGGATTCCGAATGGAGAGAAGCAGAACAACAGCATATATTGCAGTTAATTGATAAATTTTGATGTATACTTTTTAACAAAGGTGTTCAAAATTCGAAATCTTTTGCTATTTTGTAAATTTCTAAAAATAGCAGTCCTATTTTACACGGATATCTAATGTACTTGTAAAATATACGTTACTGAGAATCATTCATTTTTATATACAAAGGAGCGATTGAAAGGAGCATTTATAAAAAATTAAACGAGTGTCATATATTTTGTTGCATTTTTTATTCTGTATACAAGTAAGTGTGAAATAAGCGTGATATCAAGCGATTGATCGATAAATTTATTATTTTAACTACTTCATATTAAGTCATATAATCAATAGCAGTATAGTATACGATAACGCGTCAAATTTTATACTCAAAATTTACAATTTATTTTAGTTCTCCGACGCAGAATTTTTTCATCCCATTGATGAAATATTCCGTAACGATATCATAGATGTACGTTAGTAAAATGGGTGAAAATAAAGCAGTGATCACAAGTTGTCATTGTCCGTATCATGTCTGTTTTGAGCAATTTAATCCCAAGTTTAACCGACATTGTTCGTCCATACGAATCGGAAGACACCGTTTATAACTTTCAAAATTACTACGGCGAAATTCTACTATCGGATTGTTTGTGGAAGAACTGTATCTATCGTAGGAAAAAGTTTGGTTTTTACGAGAAATTCGTCGTCAATAGTGGCTGTGTGAAGTACTTTCATAAATTCAACGATCGTGGCGATGTGTTTCATTGTGAGAGATACTTTTCCTATTTCGAGTTCATCGTTGGTCAAGTAAGTGTGTTTCACTAAATTTCTCAATCGTTTATGTTTTTACTTAAATTTCTCTTCAATCGTTTAAACACAACGTGTCAATAACTCGGTGTGCACATTGTAACCTCGAATTTACGCACGCCGTGTAACCCTTATTACTTAAAACTTTTATTTATTTCGAGAAATTTACATTTGAATTTAACAAGAGCAATGCGCGCGTTTTTTCCTCAGATTGCCGTAACCATGGTGATCCACGTGGGCGCATGCGCTTTCAATTGGTATGCTTTGGGACATGTCGTGTTCCATGTCTTTTCAGTTAAGCTATAATCGCACGTACACTTATCAGATCTGAGAAGAAATGTTTAATCAATCGAGTTTTACATCAATTTTTTAATTGCGCTCGGAATTTACGGTGTTCATACAAGGCATGATAGTTTTCTGTTGCCGAATGTGGTGCCAAACAGATATGTGTTGTGTTATGTGTAAGTGGGGAGGAGGGGGTCAACGTTCGGTGAACGATCGATCGCGATTGGCTTAGCCGCGCAGCTCCCTACCAATCGGAGCGCATGCTGCACCCTTACATGAAAGTTTGCTGCACGAGACAGGCCAGTTTCCTGTTGCAAGCTTCAGAGGTGCGGTTGTTCGTTGTGTGAGCCGGTTCGCGGTGTTTTCGCTGTTCTCTTAATTTTCGCGTTTCACATTCCGCCGAGTATAATTGAAGACACTCGTCGCGGACACACCGGGGATGAACGATGTTCGAGCGTGACGCGAGTGGCAAATCTTGTGTACCCGTTTGTGCTGCAACCACGACCGGCTGAATTTCAAGGAAACTGCCGCGAGAAAGTGTCCCTTTGAGGATCTCTTCGAGGAGAAACAAACTACGGTACGTCATCCGTCAATTTCATCCCTTGTTTTACGATTAATTCGCGCATGTTATTGATTGGTATCGTGCTCTGGATCGGAGCGTGCGTACGTACGTGTACCAGCATATTTACGAATGCATATTTTGAATTAAGAAATTTGAAATTGGTCTTGATGGTTTTTCAATGTTTACACTCTACTGGATATTTAAAAAGAAAACATTATAATGCATCACGTTCGTCGTACAGTTCAATACACAATTCACTTCGTCTTTGTATTTTCCTATTTTACCGTACACGTACATATATGTGCGCTCATTTATCTCGAACACGCGTTTCAAAAAAAAAAAAAAAAAAAAAATGTAAATGATAGAGATTAGCATTAATGACTACCGCCATTTAAAAAATCGCCAAGCATTTATAATTAGCTATTATCCGGTCACAACATAAATTATGCTTCGATATTACGGGATTTTACGACGCAATCAAGCAGCTAGTCGATTTTTTACATTAATATTCCTTCGAACATTATCGTACATTCGTCTGGTGCTAACCGTCCCTTGCGTTGGGTTCCTAAAACAGTCGCTTTTTATGGTGTCCTTTAAAATTCGTAGTTTGCCGTGGTACAGCAGGAAATTTTCGTTCATTTATAAGGAAGAAATGTAATGTAATCACGCCGAATTTTGTAGTTTGATCTCTCTGTACTGTGTTCGACTAGTACAGCAGCGAGTGGGGACCAGCGAGTTATTAAACCGTATTTTAAAATTAGATCGTTTCAGATTTATTCGCGAAGCTTATTTGCGCGGATTCTGATCGCTGCAGTTCGGATTCCCCGAATAATTCGACCGATAGTCGCACGTAAGGTTCGCGCACGTAACGAACGCCGGATAATTTTCGTTCGTAAGGTTTCCCCGTTCTCTCGTAAGCGGCGTCTTTGCTATTCAAAACCAATTTTCCGATTACCTGACATTCTCGTATACCAGTGATGCAACATTGCTCCTTCCGATTTGTTGTTACGTCCACGTGCTGTGGAGCGATGTTCGTCACGTGATCGCTGGAGTGACTATCCAACATCATCCGATGTTCGGATCGTTACCTCTTCCGCCGAAAGAAATTTCGAAAAAGAAGACGGAACATTATCTTAGGTTACCAAAAAATTGAATGTGAAAGTGTGAATATCTCCGAATTTAACCTAGTTGAAATTTAATTTGAAACTTTGGCCCAAGTACGGAGAGAAATATTATTACTTTCGAATTGTTGAGAAATCGAAACTCAAACTCAACCTGTCTTTATCCACAAACTCGACGCTGTATTTCGTGAATACGTTTCCACGCTGAGTTCATTGTAACCTTCCCGAAACGAGAGTAACTTTCGAACTGAGAATTCTCTTGTCAGTTCTAGAAACTAGCATTTTTGGACTCCGCTCAAATATTGTCAGGACAGGAATTGGTAGGAGTTGGTAAAAATTCTTGATGCTTCAAAGTGGAGTTTAGCGAAAAACAGACGGAACTTTCCTTTTGTTTTTTATTATTATTATTATTTTTTTAATTTACATCAATTCTCTTAACGAAGGGTTAACGAGTTTATGGCAACTTTAACAGTGCGGATACGAAGCGAGAAAACGCTTTACTCTACAAATTAGATTGAAGTTAATCGTCCCGGGTAACTCGAGTTATTTCTTTACCCGGTGATTATTTCTCTAAATTACACGTTCTCGTAGCTTGATCATGCTACATGGTCGCGCATCGCTGGAAAGGGGAGGGGAAAAAAGAGAGAGAAAGCTGGTAATTTTCACAGTTTTTTTTTTTTTTTAGAAACGGGACACGAAGATTCGTGTGTAAAATCCCTTATTGACATTAATCTAAAAACGAGTCCGGCGAAATTTTTCCAACGAGGAATTAAACGACGAGCGAATACGTTTTGTCAGTTTTTTCATGCTGGAGAATGTTTAGAAACGTCGAAACATTTGTTTAGACAGTTAAAAATTCGGAGAAAGTTTCCGAGACACGTAGCAAAGGTTTTAATCCCTTTGCCGTGGTTTATCGATTCTTGTCGTCGCAGAATGCACGCCGGTGCATCACTATGAATGCTGCGGACGACGTGTGACCTTGAACGAGTAGCTCGCGAAATCCAAATAGAACCCCGGGCAAATAAACCCTGCGATACTTTTCAAAGCGAGGCTCTTTTTAGCCGTTCTTTCGTTCTGTTTCAACATCTTTCAACTTACACCTTTACGTTGTCACCTTTTTTGCGTAAAGTTCTTCTTCGTCTCGTGAAAATCCTCGAATTCCTGTTTTCAATTTCTGATTTTCCTCGTATTTCTACGAGAAATCTCTGTTTAAAAAGCTTTTTACTCAATTTTCAAACAAACGAATTACACGTTGATACATTAATTTTTGACGATGCTTTCCAATCAGTCGCTCGTTAATTAATCGAATGAATTCAAAGTGTTTGCACACGCATTTCGAAAGGATTTGGAGAAATCTGTTCGCACAGTTGCGCGTGGTTTTTCTCGAAAAGAGCGACAGACATGCCTCCGGGAGTACGCGGCGGTCTGCGGGTAAATTGAAATACTTATTTAAGGAGGATCCAATTAGGCTGCCATTCCTGGAATTGCCGCGGCCAGGTTTACGCCATTATCGATCAAACTGTCCCAGATTCGCGAATTCTTCGTTGCTGAAGCGTTCATGCACAACGCTCCGGCTATCTCCGGCTGCCGCCTATAGTCGAAGCTTTCTGCTTCTCGGTTTCGATGAAACCCATCGTGTAAATACTTGATTTCTACCATTGAAAAATTTCTTTCTCCACTGCGGTCTGGATCGTTTCCCCACCCCCCTCGTATTTATTTTCCTTTCTCCTTTTCTTCGCAAAGATCAAACGAGAAAAAGAAAGAAAGAAAGAGAGAGAGAGCAATTCAATTTTTTCTTTTTCCTTTTTTGCCTCTGTCGAGTGCGATCTGTCAATTGGCGAACAAAGAAACGTGGTCTGAGAAATTTGGAAAGCTCGTTCCCTCTATGCCCGAAGTGATTCGAGGCTGAAAGCGGTCTGGAGTCGCGTCAATTAGCCAGAAGGGGATGGAAATCAAGGGTAGTTAAGGAATCCCTCTTACGAGCGACTCTTTCCCCACCCACCGATTCTCTCTCCTCGCATGAAATTTCTTTTTTCCTTCCTCTCTTTTCTGTCTTTTTTAACACAACCCCACCGCTTGTCTGCACTCTGAAAGTCCCCGCGTCTGAAAGGCTGAGTGTGGCCCACTCAAGTCGCGAAAATGCTGAGCGAGCTATTGAAGAACGACGAGCGAGAGCGGGCACGCCTGGCTGGCTGAACGTGCGACGAGCAGCTTTCGCGAAATTTACGCTAATTTTTAGGTCAGATCCGCGCCGAACTGGCTATTAGCGTCGAACGCTACTCGCGGATGATCCCTCGTCACGAAGCCATCGCTCGGTGCGCTCTGCTTTCACAGAGGAATTTGCATGGAAGGTTGCCATAAACGTGTGGTTTCATCTACCGAGGAAATTCATCGGCCTTTCACGATCTCCGAACCGTCGTGTATTTCCTCGAGGAAAGGATCACCTCGCGATTCTTTCACGTTCTCACGTCTTCGGCTCTCCGCACATTTTGTCGATATTACAGTATGAGAATATCCATAGAATCTACGTTTCCCAAGAAACAATTTGCAACTGTCGAACCAAAGAAACTTGTTCGGTCTATCGATATAAATGACTACTCCATTAACTATTAATGGACAATTAAAGCATAAAGATTGCATCGTAGACCTTGGAGTGCAAAACGAATGGCAAGGTTTATAATACAACAAATAAGACACAAAAGTTTTGTTCGTGTGTTTTATAAAAATCAGCCGAGATACAGCTGTAGTGTAAATCTGCGGAATTATACTCTGAAAAATTACCAATTGGTCATTCCGATCACTTTCTCGTAGTTTTAGTGTGGTGATGAAACAGGGAACACTCGACAAGCAAATTAGTTCGCAATTAAGATTAGCACGTTTAAGGCTGTTAATCGCTTGGGGGATCCCAATTTTCTCGACGATCAGCTGTTCAGCGAAGAAATGAGCCTTTTGAACAGCAGCCAATATCCTCGTTACCATTGTTGGATCATTCCAACGTTTCCAGCTTCTCGTACACTTTCCAACGGAAGCTTTCCCTTCTTCGAATGTAGCCTGTTTTCTGGTTTCTTTCGATTCGGAAATAGAAGACAATCAGAGACCAGATATGAACCACTCTCATCTAACAAACAATACAGAACTCAAAATTTATTTAAATAGAAAAACAGTTACGTTCGCTCCAAATATTAACTTTGAGCAATAAATTGGAGGGGAGGGGGTGAAAAAACGAGTTTAACATCGGCGACGTTAATTACAAACGAGAAGAAAGAAGAAAATAAAATAGCGAAAAAAATATATTCTCTGTTCAGTTGTTAAAGGATCAACCATCTTGTTACACATTAATATAAGATTAATAGTTATTGTTATAGTTAAATTTCGTAATATGTTTGTTCAAACCTCCATATGAATTGGACGATTTTGAATTCGAGTGCGATCTCTGGTCTCTCGCGATCGGTCGAACGAGGATGAATGACGGAATTATGGCGATTCGAAGCGGTTACGTCACGTCAGCGTCGAATTACGCGTCTTCGATGGCAACCCTTTTCCCTTGATTTTGCAACAGTCGCGTTATTGCATTAATCGCGCGCTTTCGTGGGCAGCGTCGTTAGAAATCGCGCACAAGTCGAGAGAAACGACCACGATCTGCATGAACACACACTCTGGTCGATTATGTTATCGGTTCGACGAGGAGGTATTAGTTCGGACAATGTTATCTTGTCTCTTCGAGTCATCGCGAAGACTTTGTCTCGCGGTTTCGATACTCGGGCGTGTCTCGATTGATTCATCCTGCAGTTTCTTGCAGGATGATGCAAAACTAAAGTGACTCTTCGTTTCAATCCTTTCATTTTCGTTCGAATTTGATACGAGGTTGATGTATTTTTTTTTTTTTTTTCTTGA